TGTCGCAGGGCTGATGAGCTTGCTTTAAACAAAGGCTCCTAAGGAGTTCCACTGAGCCCTAAAGAAGCCTTCAGAGGGCCCAAACCGGCCTCTGAAAGTCCCACTGGTGTTCATGTTCTCTGAGGGCCCATACAGGGATATTTGAGCCTTTGAACATTTCTGAGAACCTTAACTGGCCTCTGATAGTTCAGCCAAACTTTTGAGGCGACAGACTTTGCTAACCCCAAGCCGGCATCTGAGGGGACACAGCTCACGTGTCCCTCTGAGGTCCGCAACACATGTTTATTATGTCCCTACGTAGGGTCCTTAGGGATTCGACACAGACCCCGAGGGTTCACACTGTTATCCGAGGGCTCCAGGCTCACCCTGGGCCTAGTCTCTTAGCGCCCGCCGCCCACACTGGCTTCTGAGGGCCCCACCTTGGGCTCGGAAAGCCCTAAAGCACCACGTACACGTAAATATTTGAGGTGACCCACGCCGGTCTCCGGGATCCTAAGCATGCTTCTGAGAGTCAGCACTGACCCTGAGTGGCCTGAAATGGCCTGGAACTCCCAAACCTATCTCTAAGGGATCCCTTGCCGCTATGCCGTGCGTAACTTTTGGTTCCGTTTAACAGTTTTTGTTCGCGTTTGCAGCGCTTCCCTTCACACGAAAAACGAGAAACTTTTGTTAACACTCGAGTGAACGAAACACTTCCTCTCATTGGAGCAAAGATGAATTACTACCGATTCACACTTCCGACATTCACTCTCCGCCGAATGCCCAACTTAGCTATGACCGGCGGCTGAGATAAGTCCTATGCATTTCACGTAAAACCTTTGCATGCATGCGTGAATGGAGGTTTTAGCAGGGTGATCCGATTAAATGGGGCGTTTTTCACCTTTTTCTGGGTAATGATCATGAGCGTCGAGCGTCTGCACAGGGGCCCTCTGCTGCGTCGGCAATCGCAGCCACTATATACTTTAATTCTACCAGTCGTTTTTGTCATGAAATTTCAAAATTTCGAATTTTTCTGTAAAAAAATTACATGTCATAGCTAGAAGGAAACCGTTGTCACCATCGGATTCCTCGCACCATTGCGCGTCGAATGATATGTAAAACGAGTGAGTAAAGACTCGGGAAAGGCAAGTTTAACACAAAAGTTGATTTTGCCCGCCAACCGAAAATCTCTGGCGACGCCTATGCTTAGCTTTACTGGGAACAGGCAAATATTGGCCAATTAGGAACACTATGAGTTTTCAATAATGTGCGATATATGTTTTGCCAGTTTTGTCAGTTCTTGCAACGTTTGTGCGTCAAAGTGTCTGGGGCTACAGAGGCCTACCAATGTCGCGAAGACCTTTGTCGCCTTGGTCACCAGGCCCCCATTTTTGCTCTTTTCGAGCGGATGTGTTTCATGCCTTTTCTTCGCTGTGTTTGGTGGCCTGGCACCTGCCCTTGATGCCTAACATACCTTTCTAATCTCACAGGAGTATCGAACGGATGACCATCTTCCTAGCGCACCGCGGTTACGTGCCGTACGAGGCGCAAACCAACGAGCAGCTCGACTGGCGCGAGAGCACAATGTGGCGCATTGGCTACGTGTATTGGCGCCATGTGTCTGCTGAGGACCTGCGGGATCCGCCGTCTACCACGCCGCCTCCCCCGCGAGACATTGATGATGAGGACTACGCCTACAGACCGTGGTAGCCTCGGGCTTGTCGGGTCGGTGCGGGATTCATACAACTAACTACTGTCCGTGGTGTCTCGGGCGTGTCAAGTCGGTGTGGGATTCGTGCAACTATCGGGTCAGATTGGCGCCGTCTGGCTCGGGGCTCTTGCAACTACAATTTGTGGTAGCCTCGGCAGATCAGGTCAGTGCGGGGTTACTACAACTACCAGATCGGGTCAGGCCAGCTGGTCCGGGATTCCCACAACTACATCTCGCGGAAGCCCGGCTTGGGTCGCGTCAACGCTGGCTGGTGCGGGTTTCACACAACCACGCCTGGTAACCGCGGGCGGTCAACAACGTGGTGGAGTTGGACGGGTCGGGCCAACGTCGACGGTGCGGGATTCCTACAACATGTAGTGCGTACAACATGCTCAATGTGTGGTGCTTGAGTGCATGCTGGAGCGGTGAACTAGGGAGTGAGACGTTACGTTAGAGTTTTCACCAAGAATGTGTAATTAATTAGTACGGTCTGGTCGACTGGAGAGTGTTTCTAAATACATTGATCGTCTTAATGAGCTCAAATGCCAACTAATTCATCGTGTTCCTGTGTATCATTTTATGTCATCTACTGGCGAAATGGAGGGCATCATGTGTGACATCTCGATGTATTAACCTTCGCCCCAGTAGGGGGGGGGGCATATGTTACCACCCTGTCGCGTTTTTTGCGTGTGAATAAAAAAAAAGCGGCGCGTAGCGCCGCGCCGCTTGGGGTAGCTTTTGGTACATCAATTTTAGACAATGTGTGAAATTTTTGACCCCAGGTCATGTCAGGTCAGGTCACCAGGTCAAGTTAACTGACCATGCCTAAAAAAAAGTTTTCAATCATGTCCAGCCTGCAGTGTTTGTCAGAAAGGTTTTAAACTTAATGGATTGCATGATGTTATGGGCGCCTACAATTTGTATATCTCGGATTTTTTATATCCGTGACCTAAGGTCAGGTCAGTGGCGTGACCTTTCCATTACAAGTCAATGGAGAAAAATGAGAATGCCTCTAGATCCGTGTGTACGCATAGGAACAGTCCAAATATTTCAGAATCACAATGATTTGGACCACCCGTGATGACCAAGGTGTCATTTTTGCTGATAGCCTCTAGAAAGGTCATCCGAGGTCATTTGAGGCTACAAACAGCTTTTTGCCAATAACTCGCGATTGGAAAGAGCTAGAACGCTGGGAATGGTCTCATTGTGTTTGTCTTGTTGAGACGCATCGACTGATATACAACATGACCTTTTCCGGTCAGGTCATGACCTTGACCTGAGGTCAAATTTTCAAGTTGACCTTTCAAGGTCAAATTATAGTTCATTCGACGCGTCTCGGCGAGAGGAACACGATTCTGGCAATAGAAATGTCGTGACTTTTTGTAGTCGAAAGTTATTGTCGAAAAACACTTTTCGTAAAAACAGCTATTTTTGGAGTTTTTGGCCTCTGGAGGCTAAACCGTTGACCTGAGGTCAATTTTGATAATGACCTTATCAAAAGAAGAGTTCAAAAGCCATCGATTGCTTTTCATGCGTTTTTCTAGCTACCATAGTTCCTGAGATAACGGCATGTTTTCTGAAAAATATAATGACCATTGGCAAATTTTGACCTTTGATGACCTCTGGTGACCCCAATATTGCTCTAAGATGAAAAATGACCGAAATACTTTCTAACGTACGCATTGAGAGCTATCGACTGCTTTTTACTGCGTCTTTCTAGCCCTCTTAGTTTTTGAGTTAAAGGTGGGTGGTAACATATGCCCCATCCCCCCCCCCCCCCCACTAGGGCGAAGTTGGCTGAGACCACTACTGGGGCGCGGGTTAACAACGGCTTGTGGGACGTGAAAGAACTTCGGTTCCCGTAAAATAAAAACACACATCAATGTACCACATATATAACAGTGAAGCAGGAAGGCAATAGAGCATCATGAATCCGCTCAGCGGAGCCCTGGCAGGCCAGCAGACCTCATCAGACCATTCATTGTGATGATCTTTAAGTTTGGAACTTCTGCGGAATGTTTCGAGTCTACGGGATTGATGGAGTTTGTGACCACTGCGAGGGCGTGTTGACAGGTGGTGGCTGGATACCAGTGTACGGGAACAGTGCAACCGTGGTTGCAGGATAAGACATTGAACTAATCGGTGACGTCACAACTAAATGACGTCATGAGAAACTTACGCGTTGTCGTAGTCAGGTTTGTAACAAGTGCACTTCTGCGCCCCATGACTCTGTCTCTTCTGGTCGGTTGTCAATGGTTATCTGGTGGCGATAGTGCTCTGTTATTCCGCCACCAAATATGGCGGCATTTTGTAAGCCGCCCAATATGGCAGCATGTTATGACGTCATGTAAGCACACTGCCCTCTTTTTGGAGAAGCTGCCACTTGCCCCGGTCAAGTCCAATTCTCTGATGCCAGCGGAGGACTGTATGGTAGGCTGGCGTCTGTCTGAATTGTTGTAGAGATTTTGTGCCCGTTTGTGCGTGTGTGGTTGTGATTTGCCCGTTGATGATCTGTGGATGAAAATAATACAGGAGGTGCTGATCGGTCATGCGATAAAAATTTGACCTCGGTTGGGCGGTAGGCATCGATGCATGCAGGATGGTCGTATAATGCAACAGAAAATAAAGTAACGGCTACCGTTCATTACAGAAGAGGAGCTAAAATAACCCTTCCCTAAACGTTCAAGGAATATGTATGTAGTTGCCCTGCCCCTCTTCACCGTTCGTAACAAAACGCCCCAATCTTTACATATCACATTTGCAACGCCTCAAACGCACGACACGTGCCTCCCTCCCTCTCCTCCCAGTTGGGAGGAGAGGGAGGGGGATGGGGTCGGACTAGAGATGTCAATCGGATACCAACTTTTTGGTCTACCGATACCAACTTGGTATTTGGTATTCCAATCGTATTGTGTTTGGTATCTTGTTGGCATCATGAACCCTCACTAATACATAAGAGGCTAAGAAATCGGTAAAAAGTTGGTATTTCCCTCATTTTCCCAAGTTGGTTTGGTTTCGGTATTTCCCCGTGGTTTTGGTTGGTATTTGGTTTGGTATAGGTATTCCGATTTTCCGTAATTGACATCACTAGGTCGGACCGTCTTGGAACGATCACCCAGCCCAGCTGAGAGCCCTCCCGTGCCGGCTGGTCGGTGACGTAAGCAACTTTCACTGCCCGTCGCCTAGCCGCCGACACAGGATAGCCGGCGCGACGCGACCGGTTTTGGCTCGGCGCCGCGCGGTGCCCGCCGTCAGCCATCCTGTGCGGTGCCGTTTTGGCAGAGAGGGGGGCGGCGGCCGGCCGCTCCTAGCAGAGCTGGCAGTCGCATCGCTAGTGTGGGAGAGGAGGGAGTGTGGGTAGAGTGAGGAGAGAATCCAGCGAGTGTGGGAGGCAGCTTTGGTGTTGCAAGAAAGCTTCAGGAGAGGACAGTCAGACTCGGATCTTGCAAAGGTAAGCAGCTGCGTCGCAACGCGTTATTGCAGGTTAGCTGTGTTGCATTGTTCAACATTTACCTGTGAATTCAGAAACCGTGCAATGACAAAAGACAACAGGTGACGCGAGGCGAACAAGGTTCCAATGCGCTTTTTGTGCATTGTAAATCAGAACCTACTCAAGGGTTAGGCATAAGCCACTTGCCATTTAACAATCGCAACCCTGCATTCGCAATAGTTAGCATATTGTGCCGTTACATCGGCCGCATTGTAGTTCCCGATATCACATGTTGGTAAAATGTTTGTGCACTGCACGAGCCCCACACATAGGCATAAGTCTTTTTCTTTATCTTCATTGCATTTGAGATGCATAGTCACGACAGAGCGAGCATGCCTGTTGGCTCCCACAGTTATGCAATTGCATATGATTAGCATTGGAAACAACCCGCACCTTAATATTCGAAGCGAACCAAACCGGCTACTACCAGCTAAAGCTGGTCCCGGGGAGACGGTAGACGATCCCCTTCACGACTAGACAGTCGCCTTGGCCCGGCGACCGTCGACATCCATAACTCCATCCCCCCTTCAGGGTAGGGGGAGGGAGCAGGGGGAGGGAGGGTGCATTCGTAGCCCACCCGATGTCTGCCAATGCGCATACCTTCGAGAGCTACTTGATCCGTCGAAGAATGGGACGCCGGTGAAAACAGGGCGCCGGAGGGCATATTAGTCACGTGACATTTGGAACTTCCCCCTCCGTGGGCCTTCTACATGCTAAGTGTCACGTGTGAATTTCACGAACCTTGATCAAATCGCCCCAGGCGCCCTGTTTTCACCGTCGTCCGAAGAATGACTGGGGAGTGTAGTATTTGTTGATAAATGAACATCGAAGGATGTATCATGTAACAAGATGCTTAGGAGTTCGTAGGCGGGCCCGAGATACGTCTATGGTCGTGCTTACGAATGATTAATTTGTAAGGTGTTGGCCCCGGCTCCAGTAGCACAGCTTTCAACCATTCGGACTGAATTTAGGAAAGACATCCCTTGAGATAATTTCATACCCCGACCTAAAGTAAACCCTGTCATTAACGGATGCATGGAGCCCATTGATCTGCTTTATTAGACGAAAGGCTGCTGTTTCTCATCCGCTGTCCGTTGTTTCTCTTGGCTCTGCATACTACCTGAGAGGCTGCACGGCTGTCGGTCATTAACCCGCGACCGCCTGGGGGGGGGGGGTCGGATCCGACCCCCCTCCGTTTTTCTTGAATAACTCATGAACCGCTTACGCTATCAACCTGAAACTTGGCATATCTTCTCCCCCATCAAATTGATGTCTCCTGTGTAATTTTTAAGAAAATTTTCCCAATTTTTTTTAGATATATCGATTTTAGTGATGTAAGTACCTACATGGCGTTTTCAGTCAAAAAGTGGTAAATGTTTAAAAAATCGCCAAAAATCAAAGTTTTAAGCTAATTGCAAATTAAGGACATTAATAAACGCAGCTCAACAAGTTCTTTAAAATGCCTATCTCGGATGTTCTATAAAATGCGTTTTTCACCCCTAAAATTCAAAAAACTATATTTTTTGGAAAACAACTAATAAATTCCAAAATTTTGGGAATTTCCAAAAAACGGATTATATGTTATAGAGCTCTATTAGAACATTAGATGCCCCAAATTTCAACTTTCTATCTTTATTTTTGACCCCCATATTGTAAAAAATAGCTCCAACATGCATAGGGCATGGTGACGTCATAAGCATTTTCGTGAATTAGTGGTCCTTCTGAACATCGCACGTAAAAACAAATGGCACCACTAGATTTCTGGGACAAAGTTCGTCTAGAAAAGTGCATTTTTATGTCAAAAATAAAAAGTTGAAAATTTCACTTTTTTTCTTAGCCCTCGTTGAGTTATGTATGGTATAAACCATTTTTTATGCTTGCAATGCACACTTATCACCAGCACAGTGACTTGAGGTCACATCTAACCATTACCATCGGATTCGGCGCGAAAAATAAGCCATAAAACATGTGTCGCACGCCCATGTAGCAGAAAGTGAAAACCGTGACCTTTCGTGACCTGGCCTGACCTTGACCCGTACTTAGTATGACCCCTATACGCACATGGTACCTTCACTAGGTCTTTGAGGCCATTTTTGGTGAGTTTCGAGCAGCAGCTATCGATTCCGCTGTCCGTAAGCCTAATCATGCAAAACCCCAGAATTTGACTTTTGACCTGACCTTGACCCGAAACTTGACCTCAATCTTAAAATCTTAAGAGTGCTTTGGGAAGGTCTCGTAGAGACCTTTCGAACGCCGCCTCGCGGGGCTCGATACAACCATTGGTTCTCGAGACAACAGGGGGGGTCGGATCCGACCCCCCCAGGCTGTCGTGGGTACGGAAATAGCCCAGGCGGTGCCGGGTTAATTATCACGGTGATGAGGTCCGAATTTTCTCCATTTCCCTTGTAACGATCCAGTAATTGATCCAGTAACGTGTTGACAAAAGACCCTGCAGCTTCCCGTGATCATTTGGTCCATTTTTTATTTATACAAAACCATCATTTTTATTTGTTTTGCTGCAAAGTTATGCATAGGTTTACATGCTTATAATAATGGCAATTTAGCTGGTTTTTAATTGCATGTTTTTTTACTTCTACTAGGTGATTGTGTGCATGACTACTTAACTTTTTTCCGATGGGAGAAATGATTTTTTAGATACAGCCATTTAGATCTCAGGGCTGAATCGGTCATAAAAGCATATAAGTAAGCATAAACCAATACGCGTATAAGGTAATTTCCTCTAAATCACACCGGGTAACCTGTTGGGTGTCACAGGATTGCGTGTTAGGAAAGCAGGCTTCACGTTCACATATTATTATAGTGACAGTTCAAACAATTAACGGCACTCATAAGAATGAGTCCATAATTAGGCATAGTCACTGCCAGACTGTAAGCGTAGCAGGCACTCAACAACGTATGTCACTACGCCGAGAAGCGTAACTGAGGTCTGACACCGTTTGTTATAACCTGCGCCACCGTTTGTAAATATACACCCACCCCGGAGGGGGGGGGGGGGGCATGAGTGCGTCACGTCTGAGCGTATGTTTGACATCGGTGGCCCTTCGAGTGTGTCAGGCTCAGCTGTGGTACTTCTCATCAGTCGCGCTAGTGTTTGGGTGGGCATGCAGGACATCAGGGACGCCTTGAGTTCCATACCTTACGGCGATAGATATTGTGCATAATGGTCCCGAGGTGATCAATGATTCACTCACAGTGTATGTAAGTTTCGCTATAAGTTTTTACCTGCCAGTTTCTTACTTCTTCCCGTTTTCATCATGTTTATGATGTTTGATATCTCTTGGGTTTCTCGTTGCCTCTACCCTCTAGACGGGCAATCGTTTTGAAGGGATTCCTCTTTGGCTTATTGAGTACAAATGTACCTAACAGTAAATCTGGCTCAACTGCATGCCCTTTCTCACAATTAAAAAGTGAAACAGATAAAAGCGTCGAAACGTCCATACGAAATGTCAAAGACACACGGTTACCTAAAGCAATTTTAGGTGTCCCATCTACAATGCACTGTTGGTAGCTCGTGTTAGATTTCTAAAAGGGTCTTTTTTCAGCTTGAATAGCACTTTCATTATACAGATAATCTGTTAAAGAACGATAGACGTGTTTAGATCAAACTTTGTGCTCTGGCCTTGTCTAACAGACTTGGAAGCCAGTGAGGAGATAACGGGCGCGCTGGTTATATTTTAGTCCATAGATGGCACCACCGTCTAGCGCCTGCCAGCGCCCTGATGCTGCACCGCACGACACATCTCGGTCTGCATGGGACAAGCGACGGGCGGCGGTTATAAGGCCCTGACCAGATGTTTTGAATAGACGAAACCGACGCCGACACCAACGAGAACAATGTATCAACATGAGAGACGTGCCTATAGGAACCCTTTTGTGGCATTTGCATGTGTGTCCTATGACATGTGTCCTACGGCCCAAGATTATTTTACTAATACGGTTCAAGATTACTTTACTAATACTACGGCCTACCTAAATACCTAAGGGTACTTGTTTATTTTGGTAATCTGGAATGTTCATTGCTCCACCTGTTAGTATCAAGCCGTACAAGTCATATACATTATTTTCCCCACTTGCGTGCGTGTGTTTAGTTTACATCATTGTAAAACCAGTATAACGCCTTTTGGGGCGACTAACGGAGCGAGCGAGAGGGTGGGCCTTGCACGTGCGAAATTTCGAGGGGGTACCTCCAACTGACTTGTGCACGGCACCTTACTGACCGGTCTCTAGCGATGTGCCAAATTTGAGCACAATCGGCCCAGCCGTTCTCGAGATCTGGAAGCGGCACCCTGCACGTGCGCACGTGCAAAATGGGTACCAACTGACTTGTGCACGGCACCCTACTAACTGGTCCCTAACCGTGTACCAAATTTGAGCGCCATCGGTCCAGCCGTTCTCGAGATCTGGAAACGACCCCTGCACGTGCGCACGTGCAGCAGCACCCCAACTCTGGCACATGGATATGCAGTGCCTAGTGGGTGCCTACCTACATGCCAACTTTTAGCGCAATCGGCCGAGTAGTTACCGAGATATTGCAACAATTACAAAACTGACACCTCTTCGTTTTGCACGTGGCACGTGCATAAGCGGTCACCCACATGCATCGGGGATAGTCCAATACTTGGTAGAAGGAATGAAGCTACCCTACAAAAATTACCGCATGTAAATCGGTCAAGTGGTTGCTGAGATATAAGCCTCGCAAAAGCGTCCGCACGGCCGGCCGGCCGGCCGGCCGCTCATACTCAGAAATTTCCGTTAATCTAAGGAAAGACGCCGCTCGCTTCGCTCGCTCGGTAATAAGGAAAGACTCCGCTCGCTTCGCTCGCTCCGTAATGAGTTAAATGCGATGCTCGACGATTAAAAACAACAACAACACATGAGTCATTACAACTCGGTGCCAGTGTTGTAACCTCTCCCCCTCTATGCCCCTCCCCTCAGGTACCGGTCGGCCCGCGCGGCTGGCCCCACAGCTCCATGTGGCGGTGTCGTCACCGCCGCTACTACTTGACCCTCCTGGCCGTCTCCCTAGCCTGGGTCGTCTTCATTGCCGCCATCGTCCGGTTCGCGCACATACGTGAAGCCCGGCTACGAACGGGGCGCGGCGCGGCGCGTCTCAATGTGGCGATCAGGACGCGGCAGGGCGTGCTGCCCATCAGGATAGCCGAGGTGGAGACCCTGAAGGCCAGCCCGCTGGAAAAATGGAGCCACGAGCAGAGGAAGCTGCTCAACATGTAGGTCGGGGATGGACGAGGTGATGAGCGCTGTTTAGGGTCATTGTGTGGCCTAATTAGGTTAGCCAGAATACGTTCAACTGAATGAAAAAAGCCTAAACGTTGCGGTATGAGTGTACCTACCGTTTCTCTACTTTATTCGTACAACACGGTTTAAAATGCATAATAAGTGTGCTTAAGACGTTCTGTCATCCAGTTTCATGAAGTGAGTCTAGTCTTTATTACAACTTGTCCGATCTCAAATATTTGTATAGTCGACTACAGAATGATGTTCCACTTTTCACAGGCAATTATTTACCTGGAGTGGTAGGCTGTGCCGCATCACACGGGCTGAGTTCACAAATTATAGCTTTGTCCCAATGCTCACAATCGACACGCTTAATTGCGTGATAAACGGCACAACTTAGCGCTCCGGTCAACTGATAGCTTCTGAGGAGTGGAACATCATTCTGTAGTCGACTATACGCCTGCACTTTTCCAGATGTTTTTTTTATATGACTGCTCACCGCAGTGCATAACTTCTACCAAAGTTGTCTCAGATTTCCCAAGATCTTTTTACATAGCCTCCAAATGACTATGACCAATGTAAGTATGCCAATAAATGCGGCTCGAGTCATCAGGCATCATTAATATCCAGCAATGAAAAAGGTCACCCCCATTTACCCCTTTTCCCCGCCCCCAGGACGTTCCGGCCGTGGCTGTCGACCCGCTCCGACTGTTCCCGGCTCAGCACCGGGTTCGGCCGCCACCTGCCCACCGTGGCACTGGTCAGCCTCCCCAGCAGCGGTAACACGTGGATGAGGTTCCTCATCGAGGGAGGGTCCGGCGTGTTCACCGGCAGCCTCTACAGCGACCTGACCATCGTCAAAGCAGGTCAGTGACCTGAGAGGTCGGGGTGGGTGACGACCAATGTAAGGAGAGGTCAGGGCAGGTCAGCGACCCGAAAGGAAAGGACCGGAATGGTATGGGCTTGTGATCCGACAGATGTCAGCGCAAGCGACTTGACCATTGTCAAGCATGTCACTGACATGACAAGAGTTCAGGGCCAGTGACCTGCAGTGGGACTCGGAAAGGTGGTCACAGGTCAACAAATGATTTTTTTGATAAAAATAGTCCCGGAGTGTCATATTGCCTGCCGGCTACCGTACTGGAATTCAAGTTGACTGGATTGTGCAGGAAGAATGACATGGCTGCTATACGCATAGCGATATTGAAGAGGCAAATTAAATTCATCGACGCTAACCGCGCTCATTTAAGTTCGTCTTGACCCTTGAGCCAGGTCGAGCGGCCATTGACGAACCAAGATCTTTGGTCTCCGTTTGCATCATCACACGCACTGCTTGGCTTCGGTCTGACTGGACCTCTCCCATTTCCCCGCAGGAATGTACGGCGAGCTGGTCCCCCACGACTCCGGCACCACGATCGCTCAGAAAACGCACGGCTTCACCACTCTGGAGGGAGTCACAGCCAGTCCCAGCGAGCAGCGGCGGCGGTTTGCGCACGTACAAGAGCTGGGGTGTCGGGCGATCCTGCTGGTTCGGGACCCGGCGGCTGCTATAGTCAGTCATAGGCACCTGGATGCGGCGGGGCATCTGGGTTTCGCGCCGCAGAGCCACTTCGAGGGAGAGGGTGAGTGTAGGGAAGAGGGACGGGAGAGGGACGGTAGAATCACCGTGGGTAGAATGACAGAAAGAGGGAGGAAAGGAGAGGGATGACAAAGGGAGCAAACGGACGTAGACTGTCAGCGAAGGCCGAAGGGACAGGGAAGGAGACAGGACTGAAAGGGAAGAAATGGGAACGGTGGACACTACACTGGAAGGGAGCGAGGGAGGGAATGAAAGGGAGATGGAGAGGGAGACGGAGAGGGAGAGGGAAGGCAAGAGCTAAGAGGAATAGTGGAAGAGGTCATGGACTTCTGATTTGACATGGTCGAGACAAAGTCTTGAACAAGAGAATACCAATACCAAACGCGTATGTGACGCATGCATGAATATTACGTGTGCTGCAACTTCATCACTCCTTTCTGGCTTCTCTCACAGGCTGGGATAAGTTTGTGGACCAGAAGGCAGAGTTCTGGTACAGTCTGTACGCCGCCTGGATAGATCAGTGTCCTCCCGAACAGCTGCTGGTCGTGCAGTATGAGAAGCTGAAGAGCCAGCTGAACACAGAGCTGGAGAGGGTGCTGCGCTTCCTCGGGGTCCAGCCCGACCCAGAGAGGATGAAATGTATCGAGAGGTGAGGGACGGTGAATAATGTTAGAATGGAGGACGATCGACGCGGCATACGTGCTGGTTTGTATGTGATATGTTTTTAGACCCTAAACCACGATCTCCCGATCTTCTGATCTCTCTGAATCCTGATCTGACACCTGACTTACCTAACTCACCCAGTTAACTCACCTCAGTGAGGACCTCACTGATCTCTGCTCTGACACTTGACAGACCCGACTTCATCGACCCTGCCTTCGGACCAACGGCCTTTGAAATCAATTTTCTCTTACCTCTGACCTGACAGCTCGCTGATCTTTTCCTCTGATAGGTATATGGCCTGCGACATCGATGGTGTCTGACATCCTGAGTTTCCACGCCCCAGATATCTTGCCTCCCAGACGGATCCCAGACATCCTAGTATTAATTAACCCTTGTTTGATCTTCCTAGGGATTGATCTTCATGTTCTTACCTTTTTTACCCTCTGCATTCTGATCTCTTGTCCTTTCCCTGCCCTGCGAGTTGACCTCCTTGACTTCTCTAAACCCTGACCTCTGACCCCAGGGACCTGACTTCTGACCCTTGGAACCTAACCTCTGACCCCTCCCTCAGGTACCCTCGCGGTAACATGCAGCGGCGGACTCGCGCCAACAGCACAGGACCGCAGTCACCCTTGTCTGACAGACACAGACAGCGAATCAAACGCAGCGTGCTCGCCCTTCACCGGCTGGTCAGCGAGCACCAACTCGGCGACGGCATCGCAGACTACTTGTGACGTCAGAGTGACGTCATAGGACTGAACGGCGCAGGTCTGGTCTAGGGAGAAGGAAGCAGCCCGGACTAATGTGACGTCACTTCCCGGGTGGTGCGCTTTCCTTTGAGTCATGCGATAAGAGAGAGGACGGTCTTCGATATTCAATTCATTGCGTGATTAGTCTGATTGGAACTAAGTGGCAGGGTTCAGGACATACGAGCACATCAAAGTCATGAACTGGGAGGGAACGAGAAGGGCGAGGTTGGTTAGTGAAGCTATGGATGGTATCTGACATCAGCTGTGACTTTTCACATATGATAGCGGTGAGAAAAGATGTTCTTTGTGCTATCTGAGCAGAGATTAGACGTTTCGTGTGCTATTGCTATCAGCTGAGAAGAGTTTCGCGGTTAGGTCGTGGTACCAATGGTTTACTGTCTTACGATGTTTTTACGCTTACGTGCTCATTGGAGAAGCCTACCTAAATATTTATTGGGCGATGGTCGGTAATGATCAATGAGTAATGACAACAGGCGGCCCGTGGATAAGGTCATGCTCTTTCAAACTGCGCCATAGAAACATTTTTTTTTTCTAAGATAGTCCGTTACCCATGATCAGGTAACCAGGAGTGCCCCCTCCCACAGTCCCACAGTCCCACAGTCCCACAGTCCAACATGAGGCGTTTGTTTGACAGAATTCTGCTCAAAGCGCTGGTATGCCGAGCAGGGCTGCGGAGTCGGAGTTGGAGTCGGAGTTGGAGTCGGTCGGAGTCGACAGTTCTGCCCGGAGTCGGAGTCGGAGTCGGAGTCGCTAAAATCTTACCGACTCCGACTCCGGAGTCAGAGTAAACGCTGTATGGCTCAACGTCATGCACTGCACCTGTTTGATTATCGATACTGTACTCGAAATTAGATCAGGGTTTGGTGTTTGTATATTTGTTCATGAACTGTTCGTGAACAATGTTTGTTTGTTTGTTTATTTGATAGTTTACGAATTTTGGCATTCAAGGTCACATGTTCACCAACGATTCTCTGTTCACGAACAGTTCGTGAACGTTCATGAACGTTCATGAACAAGTCATCATTTCTTATATCTTTGGAGCAACTGTTATCATACGGTGCCGACATGACTGCAGACATGTTTTACATGTGACAAAATGCACCAGTCATATATCAAGCACATGGAATCATGATTCATAATTATTCTTCCAACGCTGGGGCTTAAATTGTGCATTTAAGACCTTGCATGACGTCATGTAAGACGCCACTAAGGTTGTTTGGTGCAGTAGGAGCTTTTCGCTAATAACTTCCGATCAAATTGAGCTAGCGAGTCGGTTGAGCCATCAATCGACTCAGAAAGAACTGCCACATCGAATGATATGCAGCATAACATCCTCCATGCTGCTTTGTGACCCGAGTGGCTTTGACCTGACCTTGACCTGAGGTCAACATACTAAAAAGATCTAATCCAAACAAAAAGCATATCATTCGTCGCACCTGGCCACGACGAGCACGATGGTGCCACAATCGCGGCTCTGCCACCATTTGTGGTGAAGTTATGTACCAAAAACCAAACCCCTACTTTATGGCACTTGACCTGACCTCAGCGGTCACCGGTTGGTGTAAGACCTTGAAATCGGATACCAGTCGCTGTGGTTCGTAAAGACGCACACGCTTGCTTTTTCCGCAAGGTTCTATCTCAATTGGGAGCGAAATGGCTAGGGAGAGGTCTTCTCTACCCCCTCTTTACCGTGTTCGCGAACAGTTCATGAACGTTCGCGAACTGTTCGTTGTTTGTTTACCAAAATTTGACCGATGACGTCACTTGTTCGCGAACACATTTGTTCGTGAACAGTTTGTTTATGTTTGTTTATTTGAAAAATTAAACAAACACCAAACCCTGAATTAGATTTTGTCGAAAATAGGTCATTTTTCTGTTTTGGACAAACGTTTTCAGCGAAAGAAGCAGAAGACGGTGAATGCCCCAGAGCCTGCTTTTTAAATCTGCATGTTATTTTTTATGCATATTTGCAACGCAGAGTCTTTGGAACGCACATGGGATCGTTTCAGGCAAGATCAAAATATCTCCATTATGAATTTCAATATCATGTATGGGTATTCATGGAACCGTCCGGAGTCGGAGTCGGAGTTGGAGTCGGAGTCGGAGTCGATTTTTGAAGCCGGAGTCGGAGTCGGAGTCGGAGTCACCCTAAAATCCATCGACTCCGCAGCCCTGATGCCGAGGCCCTGAAACGATTACAGTCACCCTTGCATCGTGTCTGGCAAATTCAACAAGCATAATCACTGCCTTAACATATAAGGATGTCGAACGCTCATAATATTTATCTCCTGTACTGAGCATCTTGAGACGAACGGTGAGATTGAAAGCCTAGATAAACCCATTACGATAAACATTCAGCCAGAAATAGCGAGCAATTTATGTAATGCAAGCTGTTGACTCCTGCGTTTTTCACCGAGTAGGCGCTTCAAGGTTCTTTCAGTATTACCCCACTAAGGAACCATACAATCCAGTGTGCCAAATTCTACCAGACGCGAAGGGCGAATCCTCGGGCACTCGTGTGTCAATATTCGTTCCTTTTACATTGTAACCCCTGACCGTCATATTTTCGCGTTATGTTATGTGAGCTGGTGTTTTTTCCTGATATCGAGGCTACTCCGTTCCACTGTGCATGGCCGTGCTATCTTGTTTGCAATCCCTCTCGTGCAATGTTTTAGCCACCGATCTGATGCTCCCATCCACTGTGCGTCGCTATCATTGCTCCATTGACGTCACAAATGCGCGAGTCTAAGCTCCATAGCCGTCCGACGGCAGTGCTGTGACGTCACCGATAGGCCAAATAATCACATCTAAGGCGAGAGATGACATTTAGGAAAGGATGAACTCTTGCGAGGAATGTTGATATTGCAGGGTGATCTGCGACATTGAGATGGCCTGTGCAATTGGTCGTTTTTATAAACACCTTTTAACGTGGATATGGCATGAACCTGTTTGGAAAACTGTCTCTTTCCATCGTGATTTGTGATGCTAACTGACGTGCCTTACAATGGCTGGATGCTTGTGATAATACATGTTATTTTGTAACGATAAGGTTTTATTGGGGGGGGGGGGGGGGTACACGCGCCAGACGAACCCTAAAGCGTTTTCGATGACGCATTTTTGCTGAGGTATTCTCGCCGGAACTTTCGAAGTGAATTAGTATTTATTTGTCTATGCGGTGTAGTTAAACGTCATCCTGGGTTGAATAGTATCGTATTGAATATGTTAACCCGCGAGTTGCTGGGGGGGGGGGGGCGTTAAACGCCCCCACTTTTTTCGCCGGGCCATAGCATAAAAACGGCGCGCCGCAGGCGCGCCAACTTTTGGGTACCTGTAGGAAATTGATCGAAGTTTATTGTGACAAAGTTTCAAAAAAATCGGTCGGAAAATTATTGAGATATCGAGGTTTTAGTGACGTCATGATTTCTGAGTTTTCGACCAAAAACGGCATATGTTCAAAAAATCATATAAAATCACAGAATAGACATACAGACATGCCGTAAACGCCATTAGACTGCCAATACCATGACCAATCAAATGGCTATCTTCGATTATTGATTATCGCTCCGCATTTTCCATAATCTTGAACTGAATCTTGGCAATTTTTCGTGACTACTTCACGACCATGATACTTGCATTTCTTAAATTGAACTTTTTGAGCCAAACACGTACACATATGATAAAATGAATGTCATCATCGTGTTCTACGCCCCAAATTACCTATAAAACATGTGTCACAGGCTGCGAATATCAGTTTTGATTTTCGGGTATATGTGCCTACCCGGTTGACCTGACCTTGACCCTGACCTATGCTTGACTGACCCCTACATGGAGCTGACACTCTTGTAGGCCTTATATGATGGATTGTGCACCGTTTGGACAGAGTTTATGACGAGAGGCGCCCATTGCGAAGTCCTGAAGTCCATGCTACTGAAAGCCCGATTTCAGGTGTTTGACCTGACCTTGACCCGACCTGTGACCTCAAAATTCAACTTTAAAGTACTCATCTGAAGCGTCTCGTCGCGCTCTTTCGTTTGCCGCCTCGTGCGTTTCGCTGCGCCTATTGGTTCTCGAGTTATCGGCTGGGGGCGTTTAACGCCCCCCCCCCCCAGCAAACGGTGGGTGGCGAAATACCCCAGCAACTGCCGAGTTAACCTGTGGGCGATTCGACACGAGTTACCGCTTTTCACGGCGGTTCAGAACGTTTGATACGCTGAGTGGCACGATGTATTCATATCGTACACGTGACAGGTATGATTTATGTCCCAAATAAGTTACGGTTATCTGAGGTACACGCACAACACAAAAATAATTCACCTTATACACAAATACTCGTGAAAGTTCGTACAGTACTGGCGAGACATGAAGTAATAGCACAGCCTCAATAATGAAGACATCACCATACGCAGCACACACATTGCGACTATCACTGGATACTGATCTCGTCAGCTACAGTAGCTCTACCACAGGCGTAACGGCAACCAACTCCCAGCGAGGCAGTCAAACATTTAGACGTCAGTCTTATACTCTTATCTCAAAGAGTTAGACAAACTGAGCTCATGCACTCACGCACTGGCGCTCATACACAGGGAAACGCAGACACTCGGACACTCAAACAGACACCCATCGCTAGGGAGGAGGGGGCGACGGAGTGCCCGGCCCCGAATCCTCCCCTTCCGATCCCTCCCCCTCCTCTCCTGACTCCGACTCTGACTCCGACCCCGTCCCCGAGTCCGTGCCACTCTCCCTCTCCCTCTTGCCTTCCTCTCTCCTTTCCTCCTCCTCCTCTTCCTCTTCCTTCATCTCGGGCTCCTCCTCCAGCAGTACATCCAGTTCCTCCAGCGGAAGCCTCAGCCGGATTCCGGAGCGTGCCATGAGGTCACAGGCGCGCCTCAGGTGTGTACGGGAAAGGTAGAGATGGACCTGTTTGGACCACGGACAGGCCTGGATGGCACGGTAACACACCGCTTCCAGATCCTGTCGGAGACGGAGGGGGAGATGGTTAGTAAGGCAGAAGGTGTGTTGGGGAGATGAATATTGAGTCAATGGGAAGACATTGGTGTGTCTGAGAGACCGGGAGACGGTATATACTGGGCGAGGGGGAAGGCACTGGGGTTGATGAAAGGATGCTGATGGGTCAGAAAACGGTCAAGGAGACAGTGCGAGGGTTGAGTAAGGGAGGATTAGGATGGACCGGTTCTATTGGATACATATACATAATGGTTAAATGCGAGACTGAAACACGTTCAGGGAGATGGGAGAGGTAATTCTCAAGAAGATGAGGGCCTGGATGGGAGATGCAAAACGGATTTATTGGAAGACAAGTTAAGGTAGACGGGACTGGGCCAGTGACATGGGACTAAGTCGAAAAGTGCGGACTCACGGAGCTCAGGGTTACGTTGGTAGTCTATGAATTCGTGGGAGAATGTTGATCACTTGTCTGACGTCAACCAAACAGGGCACAAGGGTTAATGCAAATTCCATGCAGAACCAGTGTGGCCAAATTGGTTTTGAGTTAGGGGGAGGATGTATAAAAAAGTTGTATGAGGATGTCACTATTAAAAAAAAACTCGTCTTCAGCCTCATTTTAGGTGCAGTTTTTACAGGTACTGTTGAAAACTATACCTGACGTCAAGTTCTGGTGGAAAGTATAAAAAAACTCCAAATATTGTCATTAAAGATGTAAAATAACAACATTGCAAGCGCAACAGCACGAGTATGACGGTGCGAATCGTACATTGGAACATTTTTAGTCTTTATTCCTACACTAGGTATGCTTTCACGACAAAAACGTCGTGATGATGGTGATGTAATTTTAAAATTTGTGAGGATGCCATTATAATTTTCATTGGGGGTGACTTTCCCCGCAACATCACCAATTTGGCCACACTGTGCAGAACAGAGCGCAAGATTCGAAGAAATTGTACCAGATCTCTGGGGACAAACCACATAAATTGCCGAAATAGAACACAATATGTTACGCAAATCAACAGCTAGCGTGCTAAGAACCGATGAAAATTTTACACTGTAACAAGGATAACTCATACTGTCTAGAGCAGGGGGGCGACACGGCTATTCGCGCAATGTATTCAGTTATGGACCGCGCGGGGCCTCGGGATGACGCGGCTGGAGGCAACTGCTCAGCGCGCTAGGATACTTCTGGCGGGGCCGGGCGCTGAACGGTGTGCAATGAATGGGTTATGGGCGGGCAGACAGAGATGAGGTATTGAATTTTAATTGACATCAGAAATCTGGTGGGAAAGGAGAACGTTTCTAATCGAGCTTGGGCCGGGAAAGCCGAAAATGTCACGATCGGCTCAAAGCTGCGTCAGGGCCGGGTGCCGTACAAAGTGTAGTATATTTAGGCGGGCAGACAGAGATGAGATATTGGATTTAAATTCACCTTACCATCGGTTTCTGGTGGGGTTTAAAGACGTTTTTAGTTAAGCACGGGGTGTGGCAACCCACTGGCGGATCCAGGGGAAGGCATTTGGGGCAAATGTCTTCCCCCACAACCGGGGCAGCGCCCGAAATCGCTTTTCGAGAATAAAAGAAAACTTCACAACTTTTCTCAGGAAATGTTGGTTAATCACACTGCACAGCAGTACGCAAGGAATCGAAATCCGAATTTTTAAACTAATTCGGAGAAACCTTTTTGGGGTAAGCCTCCGCAGTGTCCAAGACCGCTTCCTGGATCCGCCAGTTATGAATAAGTCACGGTCGATACCGAGCTTCGGCGGGACCAGGCGCTGTATTACGTTGTACCTACAAGGAAGAGGTGGACAGACACCTAACCCCACATCCTACTGCTATACCCGTGCTTCTGTGGGTGAAGCACTGAAGCATCACGGAATCCCATAGGACCTGCGAGTCGACGAGGTGGCTGCTTTGGCCGCCGGGTACTGCAGCTCCCTGGAGTTGCCTGAGACCGATGGTAAAACAACAGCTCCGGTGGTGCCCCTATGGGCCGTAGTAATTAGTGAATTCCCGTAATGTAGAGATCATATCCTCAATAATCTCCATTAAGATTATATATTACTGAACGGCTCTGGGAAAGAAAAATGGAAACCGAGGTCTTTAAAAAATTGTAGGCACGAGGCGTAGCCGAGTGCCGGAGATTTTTTGAAGACCGAGGTTTCCATTTTTCTTCCCAGAGCAAGTTCAGTAAGATATTTCCCATACGTCGTTTAATATCTATTCAGAAACTCACAATTTAATTATTGAAATCACCTTTTTTAAGAGTTTTATCAAAAAATCACCAGAACTGTAGGTCATCAACCCGTGCCGGAAAACAGTGCAGGAAAGATCACGTGCAAATGTTTCCCGCACGGCTAGGATAATGCTAAAGGGATATCTCGGCGTATGGGAATTTATATTCCCAAACAATATGACAGACCAATTATGCTTGCCTACGTTCAGGCATTACCTCTGATGGTTATACGCCCATGAGTACAACATGTGTTCGGACGGGGTGATCTTTCTACAATGTGCGTGTGGCGTTGTGGGTTGTCGCGTGCCGGCCGCCGGGCCACCGGCGCCAGCTGACCGTGCCTGAGGCCGGGACGGTCACGTGACTGGGCACCGGCGAGGGACCCGTCCCGTCTGAATACAGTGAGTCTAGACCGAGACCTCGTTGTGTTTCATTGGCGACGAGTGCGGAACCAGCCATGGCGTGGCTTGGGGTGCCGCCCGTGTTTAAGCGGAACGAGGAGAGCTTTGGTGCCTATGCCAGGAGGCTAGAACAGTTTTTTGTCGTGAACGATTTGCTTATTCCCGACGACAAGAAGGCCGCGGTTTCAGTGGACGCTAAGCGGCGTGCTGTGCTCCTGACTGCTCTGGAGCCGGACACATTCTCGCTCCTGGAGGACCTGCTTGCCCCGGCGGGGGTAGCTGAGGTGACCTGTGCCAGAATCATCGAGGTGCTCACGTCTCACTTCGAGCCGGAGGAATCGGTGATCCTGTCTCGGCACCGATTTCACACCTGCAGCCGGGAGGATACCGAGACGGTGTCAGCTTTCCTGTCCCGGCTGCGTCACCTGGCTCGGCCGTGCCAGTTCACCTGCTGTGCCGGGATACTGGAGGAGATGCTGCGCGATCGTTTCGTCAGCGGTATCCGGAATGAGCGCCTGCAGTCCCGGCTGCTCAGCGAGAAGAACCTCACTCTACAGTCGGCTACAGCGATTGCGACAGCGCATGAGGCGGCCGCCCGCCAGGCCGGCGAGATCGCCCAGAGTCAGACGGGCCCGTCTGGCGAGTCAGCTGTGCACCACGTGTCCGGTGGGGAGCGGCCAGTGGCGGTCGGCCGGCTTCATGCGCCTGCCCGGGGTGGTCGGGCCGGTCCCTGCCCTCGCTGCCCTCGCTGTCTGGGGCGGGGTCACTCATCGGAGAAGTGTCCGTTCCGCAAGCGAGTGTGTTTCTCGTGTGGAAAGCTTGGACATACCCGAGCCGCGTGTGCGGCTACTCGACGTGCGGGCATTGACCAAGTGCAGTGTGACGCGGTTGATGTGGGGGCTGACGGCTCTCAGCCGGCGATAGTGCCATCGTCGGCCAGTGCTTCGGGACGTCCGGAAGGGGCAGCGGCCTCTGCCAGCGGGTCGGTGAGCGCGGCGGTGGAGGAAGAGGAGCTGTACTCGCTGTTCCGGTGTTCGGGCGACCGGCGCGCCCCGATCAAGCTGAACGTGATGCTGGATGATCGGCCCGTCTCCATGGAGCTAGACACTGGCGCTGCGCTGTCTGTATGTGGTGAGAGTGTTTTCAGACAGATTTGGCCTGATAACCCGCCCGTCCTGGGTAGCTGTTCGTACCGTCTCAGGACATACAGCGGGGAAGTGTTACCTGTGTGTGGGGAGGCGACTGTGCGGGTTCAGTATGGGCAGCAGGTGGTCCGGTTGCCATTGGTGATTGTGAAAGGGGAGGGACCCTGCCTGTTCGGTCGTAACTGGTTAGAGGCCATTAAGCTGGATTGGCCAGCCATAGGTCGGTTGACAGCTCATCCCCAGGTCGAGCCTATTCTGGCGGAGTTTCCGGAAGTATTCCGGGACGGCCTGGGCTGCTACCGCGGTGACCCTGTTCATATTGGTGTGGACGGTAACGTTCAGCCCCGGTTCTTTAAAGCCAGAACCGTTCCTCTGGCATATAGAGAGCAGGTTGATTCTGAGCTTGACAAACAAATCAGCGAGGGTCTCTGGGAGCCGGTCTCTAACAGTAGATGGGCCGCACCACTAGTGATCGCACCGAAAGCAAACGGTTCACTGCGTATCTGTGGAGACTATCGTTTGACAGCTAATAAAGTGGCCACGCCGTATCAGTATCCGTTGCCGCGGGTGGAAGAGCTTCTACCCAAGCTGGCGGGAGCGACCGTGTTCAGTAAGATAGATTTGAAGTGTGCTTATAACCAGCTGCCATTAGATGAGAGCTCCAGACAGTATCTCACGGTGAATACCCACCGTGGGCTGTTGAGACCGACTCGTCTCAGTTTTGGGTACAGTTCAGCGCCGGCGTTGTTCCAGAAAACCCTCGAAACGCTCCTAGCGGGCATTCCCGGTATCGGGGTTTTTCTGGATGACGTGGTCGTGTCTGGGGCAGACATTGCCTCTCACAACGCCGCGCTGAGGGCCGTCCTCGGCCGCCTGCAGGACTCCGGCCTGCGAGTCAACCGTGAGAAGTGCCAGTTTGGGCTGGCCGAGGTAACGTACCTTGGTCACAGGGTGAGCGCCAGGGGTGTGGAGGCCACTGAGGAGAAAGTCCGTGCCATTCTCCGGGCACCCGAGCCAGCGTCAGTGGGTCAGCTGAGGTCCTGGCTGGGTGGTATTAATTATTACGGGAAGTTCCTGAAGGGTCTCTCTACAGTCTTGGCGCCATTGTATATCCTGCTTCGCCAGAACCAGCCGTGGCGCTGGGGTGACACTGAGCGCTCCGCGTTCGAGGCTGGCAAAAAGCTGCTGCTAAGCCCGCCTGTGTTAGCCCATTTCGATCCGAAATATGATGTGATTTTGTCCGCTGATGCGAGCCCTATTGGTCTCGGGTGCGTGCTTAGTATTTTGACGCCAGGCGGCGAGAGGCCGGTGGCCTTCTATTCTCGTACCCTAAACGACACTGAGCGTAGATATTCGCAAACTGATCGGGAGGCACTATCCCTGGTGGCAGGCGTCAAGAAGTTCCACTATTTTCTGGCTGGTAGATCGTTCAGAGTTCAGACTGATCATAAGCCCCTGCTGGGCTTACTCGGTGAGCAGAAGCCTCTGCCGCTCATGGCGTCGCCGAGAGTCGTGCGCTGGGCCATGATGTTGTCGGCCTACGATTATCGGTTAGAGTACCGTGCTGGCAGGTTACAGGGCCATTGTGATGCACTGAGCCGGCTGCCACTGCCCGACGTACCGGCGGACGCCAGCAGTCCGGTGCCAGCGGAGCTGGTCCACATGATGGAGGTTTTGGACTCCAGTCCAATAACAGCACAGCAGATTCGTCAGTGGACTGCGCGTGATCCAGTCGTGTCTGCTGTCTATCGATATGTTCAGGACGGCTGGCCTTCGTGTGGTGTACCGCTTTCTCCTGAATTTGGGCCATATAAATGTCGGGAGTCTGAGCTCAGCTCACAGGGTGGCTGCGTACTTTGGGGAGCACGGGTGATCGTTCCGCCCCAAGGTCGCGCAGCGGTACTGCGGCTCCTGCATAGTGGACACTGTGGGGAGGGCAGGACCAAGTCATTCGCCAGACGTTATGTTTGGTGGCCAAACATGGACCGTGATATTTCTGAGATGGTCAGTAAATGCTCCACATGTCAGGAATGGCGCTCCAGTCTACCAGAGACGCCAATCCATCCCTGGGAGTGGCCGTCTGGATGCTGGCAGCGAGTGCACATTGATTTTTGCGGTCCGTTTCAAGGTAGTATGTTTTTGATTATAGTCGATGCCTATTCGAAGTGGATGGATGTTTTCCCCTGCAGACAGGCTACTACTGAAACCACCCTGGAAAAGCTGAGAAGCTCATTCGCGTGCTGGGGAGTCCCCAGAACCCTAGTCTCTGACAACGCCCAGTGTTTTGTCTCTCCAGAGTTCGAAGCGTTTTGTCGGGTGAACGGCATTTGTCATCTGACCTCACCTCCGTTCTCTCCGAAATCCAATGGGCTTGTAGAGCGGGCTGTTCAGACGTTTAAGCGAAGCCTCAATAAGCAGGGTAGAGGCTCGGTCAACACTAAAGTGTCTCGATTTTTATTCAACTATCGCACAGTCAGCCATAGCACGACACATACGTCACCAGCAGAGCTGATGTTTGGCCGTCAGTTACGCACGCCGGTCGATATGCTGCGACCCGACCTGGAGGAAACTGTCCGACGGGAACAGGACCGACAGAAACGGTGTAAGGACCGAGGGTGTCGACAGGCAGACTCACACTCTGTGAATATAGGCGAACCAGTTTATGTCTCGGCTGTCGGACAGTTGCAGGGCTCGAGGGGAAGAAACTGGCTTCAGGGGGTATTGATTGGACGACGCGGTGTGAAACTCACTGTCCGTTTGAATGATGGCCGTGTATTGGTGCGACATGTCGATCGGGTGCGTCCCTGCCGCGGTGTTCCGGTGGCGCAGAGTCCGGACTGGGGTCCGGATCCGGCGGATCTGGCGTCGCCGCTGGCTGACGCCGGGCCGCCTGGCTCGCTGGCCGGGCCGGTCTCCCCTGAGTTGGGCGCTCCGCCGGCGGCCGTAGCGGCGCCGGCAGTGTCCGACCGGGTGCTCCGTCCCAGGCCGCTTCCCGGACCGGACCGATTGAGTTATGCGTAAGATCGTACGCACCGTCCTATGCTTTGTCGATTCATGGTCGTGTTCGCTTTGTATGATAGGTTTTAATTCGTGTATATATCGTGCATTGTTTTATGTCAAGATCTGGTGGGGAGGAATGTGGCGTTGTGGGTTGTCGCGTGCCGGCCGCCGGGCCACCGGCGCCAGCTGACCGTGCCTGAGGCCGGGACGGTCACGTGACTGGGCACCGGCGAGGGACCCGTCCCGTCTGAATACAGTGAGTCTAGACCGAGACCTCGTTGTGTTTCAGTGCGCACCATCCATGGGCCTAGGATGCATCGAGGTCTAAAAGAATGCAGTCTGTAGATCAATCAACATAACAATGGTGGTATGCAACCACATTAAAATATCTCCCCCGCTCCCGCAGCGTTCCAACGCCACTCCGTTATGCATTCGCCTTGTGTGTCCGCCGAGCCGGCTTGCCTCCAATGACGTCACCGGCCGGCCGGCGGCGTTCAAGGTCAAACGGCTGGTGTCCTTACCTGGAATTCTACAGCCTTGGTCTAGAGTCTACATATATTTGCTCATACTGCCAGGTTAAACAAAATACCCATCCACCCCATTCCGCCCGTCCCTTACCTTCCCATCGGTCCTCAGTTCCAGCTCCAGGTACAGCAGCCACAGCGGCAGCCAGTGCTGGAGGCGGGGCTGCTCCACCAGCCGCGCCAGTCGGCGTCTCAGCCGCGCCGCCACCGCCGCCGGCATGGGGGAGGCTGGGGCGGGGGGCTCCGGCGGGGGAGCGTTGGAGGAGAGGTGGGCCACCTCACCCGCCGCCCGGAGAAGGGAGAGCAGGGGAGGGTCGGAGTCCGCCGACGCGCTGTGGAGAGATGAGGTAAGAAGTCAGACCGTGAGTTGGAAGAATCAGGGGGAATGGGGATGGGACATCGGTGGCAATATAAGTTAAATGTGTGAATACCAAAAAGTCACTGATTGAATAAGCGATACCGAGCCTATACGAGCCGAGTGTAGGCTGAGCGAGCAGTTCATACGACAATCAGGTATAAGAAAACAGCTCTTCCTGTTATCTCTTTTCACACAAGTCTGTCGGGAACTATCTATTTATCTAGCACACAGTAAAAGTGACAACAGATGCACGGGTCTTCTTTCTCGCCTACAAAAATCACTCCAAAATATACCGTCCAACGAAAACCTGTAATTCAACTCAATATCGACTTTCCCATTTCACCCACCTGAGTCTCTGACGCCAGGGTACGGGGCAGTAGCGGGCGGCCAGAGCCGTCAGTTCGACATCCAGAGATAGCCGCGCCAGGGCCGACCGCAGAGCCCTCTGTAGGTGGCTCTGCCAGTTCAGGGGGTCCGCCAGAGGCCGGGCGGCGGCCAGTAGCCGGCAGCAGGCGCGGTGCAGGTCGGCGGTCACCCTGGGGGAAACACGAACCGTCAGACAGTCATGGATAGATAGACTGATGGGACGGACAGCGGACGGACAGATCGAAGGCATATGAGTAGTAATCTATCACTGTAACTCCACTCCTTTTTTTCTAGTCCCTTGGACAGGCTTTGGAACAAGGAATTACTTAATAATGAGTCAGGGCCCTATGGCACACTTATGTAAAGCCACTTTCCACGAATAAGTAATTTTCTGTCCAATCTAATTCTTTCTCCACATCCCTAACCAATTTCCTCCCATTCATTAACGAACATCCGCTCTTCCTGTCCCTCCCCGCCCTACCTGATTCTTCCTATCCCGTTCCGTCCCCATCCCTTTCCCATCCATCCCAATCCTCACCTATTCGTCTCGCTGCTCCTGTTCTTTCCGAGGTCTTCCATCACCGCCATGAACACCTCAGCAGCCTCCTCTATCCCGGCCGTGACCAGTAGACTCCATGCCAGGCAGCACGTCACGAACACGACGGTAGGAGGCGGCCTACCCCCGGCAGCCAGGCTAGTCAACTCCGGTAGTAGGCGCCTCAGACGAGACACAGTCCGGGCTAGATGGTGAGCGGGAGGGGTGACACCGGGCGGAAGCGAGGTCACCTCACCACTAAACAGAGCACTGAGCGCGGCACGGCAGCCGTCAGATGGGCTCGGACCGGTGGATAACACCAAACACCATCGGTTAACTAGTTCAAACCGGATTGGGTCGTCAGCACCACACTGGGATAGAGCGGTTTGTAGAACCCGAGCGGAAGACTCCACTGCACCGATTGACTGCTCAAATCGAGCGTACTCGATGAATAGAGGCACGCTGTGGCGCTCGGATTTGAGGATGGCCTTCATTTTCTTTCGAGCTTCCTTTGCTGCGCCAGCGGTGGTCGTGGAGGTAGTGGCGGTGATTTTGGCGGAAATTCGAGCCGCGCGTCGGGCGATTATCCGCAGTCTGTGCTGAAGCAGCCTCGTCCGGTGCTCTCCCGACATGGCCGCCGCTGTCTGCTCCAGCACTCTGTCCACGAACGCCGCGTACTCGGGCGAGTCCAAGTTCGGGCCGAGGGGAGGCATGGTGAGCGGTTCTTCGGGCGAGTCCATTTTCTCCGAAAGGGGAGGTAGCTCTGGTGAAGGAAGAAGCTTTTCCACTCCAGCGGCAAGCATTCGGAGGGTATCATCATCTTCATTGGCCACTGAGTGGCTCTCATCACCACACAAAAACGCCACAAAGTCCTCAACAAGTCGCACTCGCCTCTCAGGCGCCATTTTGAACAAAAACCCTCTCACATCCTCAAAGAGGACGATCCTGTCTGTATCCTCACAGTCATCCTCCTGACCCGGCCGATCCCAGGGTAGCCAGTGCCGCGCCGCGCGACCCGCCTCCGCCGCACGCCAGACTTCAGCTCGAGGTTTCCCGGAAGACAGAAGTTCCAGTTCGGTTTCATCATCCGGCTCTTCGACCTCAGCTCCCGGCCGGTCGGTACGCGTAGCTAGCTCCGTGGGCCAGCCGCGCGCGTTTGGCTCACCGACGCGCGGCAGACGAGAGTCCCAGAAGGGCTCGAAGGAGGCAGGTGTGCCAGCAGCGCCCTCCAGTGGCGGGGAGAACAGGTTTAGTTCCAGCAGAGCCTGGTAGATGGCAATGGCGCGCTCCGTGTAGCCGGCTTGGCGTAATATCTGCCGACAGAACAAGTGACTTCAATGGCAGGTAAATAAATCAATCAGTAGGTGCTAAACTACTCAGTACCAGCCATCTGTAGGACTATATAGGTACCACCAATGATAGCGATGAAAGCTCGATTAAAATCAGTAGGTACAGACAGCTTCATCGATGGCTCAGAAACAAAACATCGTCAGATGTGATTGATATACGGACTTGAATGTTTGTGGACGTGGTTTGTGTTATGTTTTGGTTCGTTTGAGTGAAAGAGCACACACTCAATGGAAAACGCGATTTATTTACTGCGATACGTTAAGCCGAAAGAATGTCCAAAAAGATAACAAGTATGGCGAGCGCCGCGCCTAGTCGCCCGCGCCAGTCCTGCCGCTCGGCGCGCACAGTCAGCTGGCGGCGGCAGAGGCGCTCACAGGCACGGAGCCGGGGCGGCCAGCGGTGGCGGCGGCAGGGGCGCGCGCAGGCGCGGCCAGCAGCCGTGCGGGGGTTGGACCATAATACAACAGTTTGTGGCCACGGAAAGCCTACAACACCAGCTTGTCTGTCAGCCACTTTCAGTTCTCATCCTGACTCTAGCCTAGCCCACCCTAACGTTCATCGTCGCGGTGTCCCGTCCTTCAATTCCAAATCCAACCCTGCAGTCGCACCCAATAGTCCCGTCCCGTAGTTCCCCCCTGGACTCTCACCCTACAGAGGTGTCCGACCACCTCCAGCATGAGCTCCTCCAGTCCCTGGGGCGGCCGGTGGGGCCGGGCCGCGTCTGCCTGAAACTGGCGCATCTTCTCCAGACATCGGGCGTGTGCCGAGACCAGGCCGGACACGGTGAAACCCGGGCAGTGCTGCTGAGACGCCAGATACCTGAGATCGGGCAGAAAATTTGGGTTAGTTCTGAGAGCGGTCAGCGGCGGGCGGGATAAGAAGGGAAGGTTACTGCGTAGTGATGTCAAATACAGAAAATCGGAATACCATGCCGATACCAAACCAAATACCAACCAAAACCGTGGGGAAATACCAAACCGAAGCAACTTTGAAAGATAAGGAACTTTTTACCAATTTCTTAGCCTCTTACACATTAGTAAGGGTTCATAAAACCAACAAAATACCAAACACATTAGGATTGAAATACCAAATACCAAGTTGGTATCGGTTTGGTATCGGTATACCAAAAAGTTGGTATCCGATTGACATCTCTATTACTGCGCAACAGTGCCAACATTACGGTGATACGGTTAATCATCAACAGCAACCATACTTCCGACTTCCGACGGGTAAACCATTGACGATGTGGTGGTATTTATAACAGATTTATTAACCCTACTAGAACAGAAAATCGGTGACATCGAAATATTTGCAACGGGTAATGGTCAAAGTTAGCAGTAGGTATTCACCGGAAGTCTCAATCTTTAATACGTTACGGGCTAGGGGAGTGGTAAAGAGCCAGTTGTCTACGAATACATTAAAAAACAATTATATTCGTAGACTACTGGCTCTTTACTACGTACCTGTCCATTATAACTACATTTGTCAGGCTAGGGAAGGTTGCACAAGCTGACTTGTTTGTACTATGAGGGAAGAGTTTTGTAGCACCCTTCGCGCTCGGCCATAATTAATTCTTTGTTTGCGTATAACGAACGATGAACTGACGGGCTAACCGAACGACAGGCTACCATTTCCATAATCAGCTTCAACCAGAAACAACCCAATAACGGACGAGGTTTGTCTATTACACCCCGCACTCCCTCTGACCACCCCGCTCACCTCCGCCAAACTCCCAGCTCGGCCGGATGGCTGAACAGCAGCTGTCTCCACTCTGTCCGGGCCTCCTCGGGCGGCTGGTCGGGCTGGCGCAGCTCCAGCCTCCTCAGTCGCAGCTCCACGCTCCCCGCGCAGTGCCGCAGCGCGCGCTCCAGCACCGCCAGCTGGCCGTCCAGCAGCTGCTGAGAGGTGACGCAGCCGGCCAGCCGGCGCCGGCGGGCCTCCAGCAGTCGCAGCCAGAGAGATGCGTCCCCCGGCCGCTCTGAGACCAGCCGGTTCAGCTCTGCGGTGTCGCGGTCCGGCGGACCCAGAGGACACTCGGCACGCACCGAGCGCAGGTAGTCAGAGCCGTCGGAGGCAGACTCCGGCGGGGGAGAGACCGCACGGACGGATAGCGTCACGAAGGAATGACCCATCGGAAGCGTCGCGAGTGGTAAGGTGTTGGAAGCGACGCGTCGCAAACGACGTCTCCAGTGGCGGTCGTGATATCTCGCGACGGAGGCGACGGAGCGTCGGTCCCTTCTAGGTCGGCCTAGAACTCCCGCCAAACGACGAACATAGCGCGCCACATGGTGATGGTACATCTCCGGAAAAGCGCGCGCGGCGCGGTCCGGCCGACGATCCACGGAGAACGCCAACTCCGGACGAACACCAGCGTCCTCCAGAAAGACGCCTTTCAGTGGAGGCGACTCGGCGGGAGCCGGTGGAGGAGAGCTGTGCTCCTCTCGACGGCGGCTCTTCTTGTGACGTTTGTGCCGAGATTTTGACGGTGAGCGGCTGCGACTGCGGGAACGTTGCCGTTTGTGTTTTCGGCGGTGTTTTTCAGCTCTTGGTGGAGATCGTTTTGCTGTACTGTCATCAGGCACTTGTGAAGTCGCACAGGTTGTATCCGGGATGAGATCTGAACACACAGGAGACCCCTGACTGCCTGAGTATTTTGTAACAGATGCAGCACTAGTAATGTGAGATTCCCCTGGTTGAAAGCTTCCATTTGCCAGCCATGCTTGGTCATCTTTTTCCTTACTTTCATCTTTTTCTTGTACATCTGCTGAATAAGCTGGAAACAGACTCATCTTAATTCTGAAACAAAAATTCACAGCAAATTAACATAAAACCACTTTGTTCTTACTATGGCACCTTTGCATATACTAATTCACACGAGTTATCTACAGTTGCCTCTTATAGGTATGATGATGAAAGGCAAACATAAGAATAAAACTTAGCAACAATTCAGATACAAACAGAGTGTGAATGGCTTTTTGATTACTGGAGTAGTATCACCTGTGTCAGAATTCATGGGAATTCATAGACAAAGACTTCAAAATGTGATATGCTTACCCATTACCCAAGGCCCAAATCCAATTTTAACAGTTTTGTCAAACTAAACATGAGATTACTAGGTACCGTTGATTAAGTGGCACACTTTGAAAATAATTAACCCGCGCCCCACTGGGGTCTGCGTATAACACGCCCTACTGGGGGGGGGGGGGGGCTATTCATAGCCCCCCCTCCTAACTCCGAAACTACTGGGCCGATCGTCAAAATTCAAACGGCGTCTGATAGCCCCGGAAAAACTGTCGAATGAAACCTAATTTCATTGACCTCGAGGTCACCGATGACGTCACAGGTCAGGTCAAAGTAAAAATTATTAGCATTTTAGCTTGTCCACGTTTTGGGCTCTGGCCGCCGTCTTACAAGTCAGATCAGGCTCATTTTTGGATCACACACTCGTGAACAGATGCTCTAGATACCCTGAGGGTACCAAACTTGTACCTACTTTGATTTTCAGGTCAAGGTCAGGTCATCACAGGTCACGAAAACACGGGTGGAGAATGTTTGAAAAAGTTACCCCGGCCGGCGACCGAAAGTCAGAAAGACGATGATGCTCAAATATTTGTCAACGGTTATCAACAAACCCCTATTCTGTGGCATAGAATAATGGATGTCTGCCGTTTGTACGTTTTTAGGGAAAACTGCTGCACGCAGGTGCGGAAGATTTCGTAATTGTAACAACAATTTTGCAACACGCCTTAAAATTTCGGACGCATGTCACCTAGTGCTAGGTCAGGTCATCAAGTCAAATTTACTGGATGATCGTGCTAAAAATGCCATCATGCCCTTTGCAAAGCTTATTCCGCGTAAGTTGCAACCTTCCCACACAAAACAAAATGTCAAATTTGACCGTTTTGACCCTCTTATTGATTTGAGCTCGCACCTGAAATATTATTCGCGACCGAGCCTTAAACAAGTAATCGAATGTTTTGTTTGCAGTGTTTAAGCTCCGTTATGTTCATGAACTGTGAGAAAAGTTGTCGGAGAACGCTAGATAAATTTGGCTTTTGATGATCTATGGTGATTTTATTATTGAGCTTGCCTAAAACATGACCAGATTTCTCTGGTCACGATTGTCGCTCTTTCAAACGTCGTTCCGCTTCTCGCCTCGTAGCCCAGTAGCCGAGTTAGAAGGAGCGTGAAAAGCCCACCTCTCGACTCAACGTGTTACGATAAGGCCACCACCCTGACGCGGGTTAAGTTGGGGGAGCCTTGAGCCCCAGCAGCTCGTCCTTCTATCTCACTGATATTACCCTCGTCCTGTCTTGTGATGTTATTACAGTGCCATCTTACGATAACGGCCCTTAAATATGATTTACTTCTGTTTGATGAAACATGTCGGGCTCCACGACGAAAAGACTTAAAAACATAGAAGCTCCAAAATGAAAATAAAGTAAATTTTCAAGAACTTTTCAAGGTAAATAAGAATAATGAGAGACGCTTTTATAGATGACAGTTTTTTTCGTATGGACTATGGAGACAGCTTTTAGGATTTACAAAAGTGGAAAAAATTACCCCGGCCGCGCCGGGGTCGGCTGAAAGTTACCCCGGCCACGGCCGGGGTGGCCGGGGCAGGTTCTTCACCCATGCAAGAAAATATTATATCATGAGTCGGCCACGTGACACATGTTTTATGGTCCATTTAGGTCCAAGATTTCGAATTTGATGTCGTCTGTGTCATTGGAGGTCATTTTGAGTCGAATTTAGCTTAGGTCAGGTCACTTTAAGGTCAAAAAAGGTCAAATTTTGAAGTTGAAATTTTTCAACAAAAAAGGTGTCTATTGGATGCAGTTTGAGCTCAGGAACACGATGCTGCTATTTATATTGGTGTACGATGTCAAATACGTGCTGAAAAATTGATTTGAAAAATTAATAATTGAGAATTTTTTGCAATAATGCGTAAAACTTGGCCATTTTGGAAGATATTTAGCTAAAACTTGCTAGAGTTAGTCATAATAATGCGTTCTATCACATATTTCCGTTTTTTTTTCGAAAAGTCAAAAACTTTTTGAAAAAAAATGTAAAAATATAAAATTTGGATTTTATTATATTTAATTTTCCAAATTTTCAAAATTTCGAAAATCCGAGATAGCAGTTTGATAGCGCAGTCTATTCAGAGTCCTCTCATGCAAAGAAATTGGATCTAGCTTAAAAACTGAGCTCTTGGGAGCGATTGCCGTGGTTCAATGTTTTGCGTCGAAATCGGCCGAACATGACGTCACTCTGACGTCATTTCCGGCCGACCTATAGTATATACGAAGTTCAAATTTTGACACAAGGTGTCAAATTGATGCAGCCTAAGGTACTGTAAGTTTGGCGTCGATACGTCAAGCGGTTTGGAAGTTATTGCAGAAAAACGGGAGGGGGGCTATAAATAGCCCCCCAGTGGGGTGCGGGTTAAGTTAAAAAGGTAAGCGTCCAAGCTCACAGACAGAGGCCACATTGACATAAGGCTATGAGTATGACAAACCCATTGATCAAATATTCTAATAACCTCCAAGTAGGCAGAAAAAATAGAATGAATGATATTAACACAAATAATCCCTCTCCGACCCCTGGCTACTAGACGCTAATTCTCACTGAAAAATATTTAACATCTACACAGCGAAAAGAAGAATATCTCAATCAATTCCAACTCAATGCTCAGTGGCACGGTCATAGATACTAGCTCAGTGGTCTAACTATTCCATTTGAGGGCTTCAACTTCAAACGCTTCAAACTAGAGACTTCAATCTTGCTTCAATATGGGATTTTTTTTTGGTGGCCCTAACTTACGTTACCGGCCTCGCGAGGAGGGCGGCGACCTAACTACGCCGCGCAAAAGAAACAGGCCGTCCTAACTAAGACCGGTGGCCACTTTTACTGCAAGACAACATGGGAAAACCCATATCCATGTACTATGCCATGAATATGGGGAAAAACCCATGAATTTACGTTAAGACACATAAATGACAGTGAAACTTACCGTTAACATGGATGAAGTATACCAATCCATGCCGTTAAATTGATGTTTGTGAGGGGAGGGAAGGAGGAAGTTTTTGAATCTGGCAATATATATTTTGGCAATATATATTTTGGTTATATGGCCTTAATTGTTGTGAATGGTTACGATGTTACGATGAAAGTTGGATGATTTATATCCACAGGGGAGCAATGCCGCTTGAACCCTATTGGCCGTAGTGTCTTACGGTGGCGGCCATATTGCGCAGACCAAGAAACGGCTGCCGCCTGTGTTGAGGAATAGGGAATTCGGGACCTCGATTTACGTTTGCGGCCGCCGCATCCGTTACGTTCAAGTTATGTAGATACGGAACCCGGCATCTTACGCAGAATTGAGTGGGGAACACGATCGTATCTTCAGAATTCCTCAAATTTACTCGCCGGACCTACATTTGCCCCGGCCGAGGGGTTGATTGAACCCACCTCGCTAATGCGCCGCTAATTAAACTAGAATTAAGCGTCAAATTGGTCGTTTGCGACAAAGGATAATGCAGAGTGACTGGTAGGAACCCACTGTAAAGGTCCCGGGTCAACCGGTGACCTCTGAGGTCAGGTCAAGTGATCTAAGGCACGGGTTCGGTTTTTGGTAAATAACTTCGCCAAAAATGGCCGTAGAGCCGCGATTTTGGCATCATTGTGTTCAGCTAGCTCAGGCGCATCGAGTGATATACTTTTTGTTCGGGTCAGGTCAAGTTAGGGTGTTGACCTCAGGTCAAGGTCAGGTCAGCACCGCCAGGTCACGAAGTTGGTCGAAAGAGGTCATGTCGCATATCATTCGATTTGGCAGGTCTTCCTGAGTCCATTGGTGGCTTTCCCGACTCGCTAGCTCAATTTGATCGGGAGTTATTGAAGAAAAACTGTGACCCTTGTGACGTCACAAATGACGTCACGCAAGGGCAACAATGCAAATATGAAGCATAGAACCTTGCAAGGAGTGCATGAAATCATGATTTTATATGCTTGAGATAGTTTCAGATCATTCTCGGCGCCAAAATAGCAATTTTCATATTTTCCCATTGACTTATAAGGGCTTAACGTATTAGTTCCTTGTATCTGAGAAGTTTTTAGGATTTCATCTTATTATCCACTCAATTCTGCGTAAGATTCCGGGTTCCGTGGCCACATAGCTTGAACGTAACGGATGCAGCGACCGCAAACGTAAATCGAGGTCCCGAATTCCCTATTCCCCAACACAGGCGGCGGCCGCTTCCTGGTCTGCGCAACATGGCGGCACCGTTGGACACCATCTGGCGGCCGATGCGCATTCCACATTATAGAGTTCAGTGTTTATATCACTGCCTAGCTAGTCTAACAGTCAGATTTTGTAAATGACGTCATAAGAACTTAAGCATTGCCTACATATTTTGCATAATACCTGTCACGAATAAACGTCAAATACAAATCATAATTTTTTTTTGAAATTAAGTAAAATTATCTGCACAAGTAAGCACTTAGAAACGCATGAATAAATTCTTGATTTGCTAGTTTGTGAAGAAAGCTATCTCATTTTCTAGCTATCTCATTTTAGAGCAAAAGTTTCGTTTTTAGGCTTCGATTGAAACAGCAGCGCCAATACTGTCGCAAGCATGATCGTTTGCGTTGTGTTGATGTCCCACAGCCACAGGGAACTCCGCCACAATACGCCACAATAGAGTGCAGTGGTTGTTCCTGAATGGTGCGTTCCCAGACCACTTCAACTTTGCTTGCACTACTGCATTGCATTCGGTATCAACGTTTCCCTGATCCTGCTGAAAATAGACGTAAGATTAGCATGAACTTTTGCTCGGAATCCTCAGAGAGTGAATCAATAGCTGTAGGCACCACGGTTGAGCTGCTCCACAATTGCACGACCACATGTCACGTGTCACGTGGTGTTGCTCGCCGGACCTCAGGGGCTAGGCGCCAACCTGAACCAGTGCACCAACTGCACCATGCAGTGGTGCAGATGCAGATTTACTGCGGTGCTGTGCAGAATTTGCGTGGAGCGGTAGGTGGAATGACCTATTGGTTTTCTGCATATGCGACGGCCGAGGGGGCTGGGGGGGGGGGGGGGCGGGTATGACCCTACCCCCTTGCCCTTTTGCCCCTGGTTGAGCCCAGTCTGCAAAGTATGGCAATTTCGACGAGATCTCGTCTGTGCGGGCTTGTTCGGCTGGTGCGGGTTTGGTGCGGTGCGCCATTACGGTCAGACTGCAAAGTATGGCACGCAGGTTGACGAGGCACACCGGCCCAAGTTCAAAATCCGCACCAACCTTTCAAACTGAGCCGGAAAATCCGCACCAAAGCGGGCTGAGAGCCCAAAAAATCCGCACCAGCACCGAACCCACAGGCAATTATAATGCAAGGGACTTTGATGAAATACTAGGACTTACTCCACAAGAAGATCGAATGGGTCGGAGCGCTTTCAATATGTATTATACATATTATATCCTTATCTATATATATCATATCATATTATACATATATATCCTTCGATACCCGACTCGATTCGACCCGTTATTGATTCGCTGACGACGATATGTATAATACAGGGATGCGGAGCCGGAGCCGGAGTCGGAGCCGGAGCCGCCGGAGCCGGCATATTTTGCCCGGAGCCGGAGCCGGAGCCGGAGCCGTGAAACAATATAGCCCGGAGCCGGAGCCGGAGCCGGAGCCGCCAAAAAAGGGGGCGACTCCGGCTCCTTTTTATTTTTTGAAGAGGAAAAAAAATAATTGACCTAGTTCGGTTTGACAGTACAAGGCAGTAAAACATATGGTACTTACGTCATGGGCCATCAAGTGAATGAAAAAATCCGAATATCCCCAGTATCCCACAGTACGCAAACAACTTCCTGTTTGCTCTTCCCCCCCCCCCCCCCCACGTCTACTGCATCCCCAGAACATGAGGACCAGTCATCAGGTGACGGCCATTGTTTTCAAACCAGTGCAGTGGACTGCGACTCCCAGCACCGTCTCATCCCACACACCCCCCACCCCTCACCCCCCAATGCAGCCGAGACGGGTGTCAGCTTACGATGGTTCACTGAACTCCGATTCGCGGCGACTGCGTTTCCAATGCCATCGCTTCCTAGCCCTTTGTTCTGCCAGTTCTCTCCGAGGTGCGTTTGCGCGGGGACGCGGTGAGCCGGTCATGGCAAAGAGTAACGCGTATAACCAATCCAATTTTTCTTCCACCCGTATTTAATTGATTGCGTAGGGGATGTACTGAGTCGGAGCCGGAGCCGCCGGAGCCGGACCATTTTACTCGGAGCCGGAGCCGGAGCCGGAGCCGCCATAACATTTCACCCGGAGCCGGAGCTGGAGCCGGAGCCGATTTTTTCTCCGGAGCCGGAGCCGGAGCCGGAGCCGTCTGAAATTTCCACGGCTCCGCATCCCTGGATTATACCATATTGAAAGCGCTCCGACCCATTCGATCTCCTTGTGGAGTAAGTCCTAGTATTTCATCAATTTAATTCCATCTCCACATCATGTCATTACGGCAAGGGACTTTATTCATCTCACTATAATTATTTCCCATCCAATTTCAGTTTCACTTACCGCTTGAGCAACGCTCACCACAGGATCGCGCCGCGCACTTGTACCGTAAGTTTGAAATAGAGCAAATAGACGGACGCCGGTGAAAATAGGGCGCCGGAGGGCATATTGGGTCGTGTGACATTCGGAACTTCTCCCCCTCTGTGGGCCTTCTACATGCTAAATGTCACATGTGAATTTCACGAGCCTTGATCAAATAGCCCTAACAAACTTTCGTAATTTGTATGAGTGAAACCAATGACGTCATTCCCAAGTAGCGTGCTGATTGGCAATCCAAACCAGCTGCTCACTAATGTGACATACCAGTCACCACCACTGACCGTGGCTGACACGCATTTGTAGGGCTTTCCAAAGAACAGTCAACAAGGGAACCCGGCCGGGTAAGAAGACCACGCGAAGTCTGCAGTCCGCACCGCACCAAGGTCCAAGCGTTGGTCCAAGCCAAATCCGCACCGCACCAGGCCAGATCTGCACCGCACCACTCCAAAATCCGCACCAGCCGAACAAGCCCGCACCGACGAGATCTCATCGAAATTGCCCTATTTTGCAGTCTGGCCGTACGGTGCAGATTTGGCTTGATGTGGTGCGGATTTAGTGAAGTGCGGTGCGGAATTGACTTGGTGAAGGACATGACAGACCAGACGAGATAGATGAGGAAAATCGAGAGAAAAAACATTGTTGGAGCTTCAACATCACGTAATTCAGTGTGCTCTCGTAATTCAGTGTGCTCTCGTAATTCAGTGTGCTCTCAGGTCTAAATGAGTGTGTGGTGGTCAGAGCGGACTGGCAGTGCTGGTGGTCCCATTAATCACGTGGGATGCCCATAAGCTCGCCCTCTTTGCACTGTTGCACGTCTCTGCGAGGCGCTGGCGGACGGCGGTATAGTGAGAGAGATGAGCTGAGCACGGCCGATGAGAGGGATTCAAGATTTGTACGACCGATGAGAGGGCCAGAAAATCACCGCTCTGCCGCTCCAAGCAGTCAAATGCAAACAATTTATCGGGTACGTTCGACGCAGCTAACGGGTTGCGTTGAAAGAATCTGAGTTTGTTGCGTTCTGCATTCGGCAGCTTTCGTAAACGAGATGCGCCCGATTCATGTAGCGGGTCCAGTGCAGATCTTTTTGTACTCTCAGACTGTACTCTTTGGTGCGGATTTTCCGGCTCTGTAAGGATTGGTGCGGATTTTGAACGTGGGCCGGTGCACCTCGTCGACCTGCGAGCCGTACTTTGCGGTTTAGCTAGCGCGCTGTGGAAAAGCCAGTATGTGCGCTGTTAGGAGGCGCAGATATTAGTGCCCGATTTTAAGGTCCTAGGTCAAGTGGTGACTTCTGAGGTCAGGTCAAGTGGGTAATGGTAAAGCTGGCGCAAGCTGGTGTGACCGTCGCCACTAACCAGTATATGTGTAGATAAAGTTAGAGTAATATACAATCTAACCTGACCTAACCTTACCTGTAACTAACCTACAGCCCACCAACCTACAAACCTACAACCTACCAACCTACAATCAAAACTACCTACCGCCGACGGTGACGCCAGCTTTACCGATACCGTCAAGTGCCCCAAGGTACGGCTCCGTTTTTGGTGAATAACCTCGCCAAAAACTGCTGCAGAGCCACGATTTTGGCAGCATCGTGTTCGCCTTGCTCGGGCGCGTCAAATGATATGCCTACTTTTTGTTTGGGTGAGGTCAGCTTATGGTGTTGACCTAGGGTCCCAGTCAGGTCACGAAATTGGTCTAAGGAGGTCATGTCGCATAGCATTTGATTTGGCAGGTCTTCCTGAGTCCATTGGTTGCTTTCCCGACTCGTTACCTTAATTTGATAGGGAGCTATTGACGGAAAACTAATATGACCCTAATGACGTCATAAATGACGTCACACAAGGTTAACATTGCAAAAGTGACGCATCAGATATTGCAAGGAGTGCATGAAATCACGATTCTGTGTGCTTTAGATAGTTGGAGATCGTTCCTGGCGCCAGAATAGCAGTTTTATTTTTCCCCCATTGACTTATAATGGTGAGGTCATTAAAATGACCTGACCTCGTATGACCAGTATGACCTTTAGGAAAAATCCGAGATATATAAGTTGTTAAGTTAGACTCCTAATGCATACTAGGTCCTGCAAGTTTCATTTCCCTGTGAAAGCTCCTCTGGCAGTGAGGGTGTTGCGAAGTTGCGACATCTGAAGACCGTGAAGACTGCAGAAGTTCACTTATGACGCCAAAGGTCAGTGACCTGACCTGACCTGAAAATGCGGTTGGTGTCAAAAGGTCCGGCTTGAATCAAAGGTCAGGTATGCAAAGTTTCAGCTCTCTATCGCCGGCGTGTTCGGAGCTAGCGCGAAAAAAACTATTGGGGAGGGGGGGGGGGGGCGGCACCCGCCCCCCTCCCCTCGGCCGACGATGGTTAATCATCTAAGTCTGAGTATTGTATTGCAAGAAGTTAAAATCTTATAATTCACACAGTTATAAACTCTTCTCATTACTTATCTCCACCTCGAGACTGCAAAGTGTTGCAATTGGGTACTTAGATGAAAAGACGCATCAGCAAGGGTGACAGACTCGCATCATTATGAATCCCAACAAAACCAAATGTTGAATTTTTCGTACAGAACGGATGACTATTACAGGTATGTATGAACCAGGAATGTTCGCATTTGTGGTGTACAGAGCTTAGAATATACACTTGTGAAAAGTAGCAACTGCAATAAAAGGTCTGTTCCTCCCTGGCCAATGTAATGGGCCATTGAGTCTCCTGTGCATCATATTCTCAGACAATAATGTGCAGCACACGGTTCAGCACAGTAGGTACGGGGACCCGCAGTTGCTACTGTACAGCGACCCTGAGTAAATTGTCCCAGCACCCTCACAGGAAACAACGATAAGCTGTCAGAGGATACGCAGAGAAAACCTCAGCTGCTCTTGTACAGGTACCGGCGGTCGATATCAATGTTATCGGTTGTTACTGGACAGGACAGACGGCTAGAGTTGGGGTTCGTGTACAGTAGCAACTGCGGGTCCCCGTACCACTCCCACCTACCCCTACCACTCCACGCAAATTCCGCACAGTAAATCCGCCATGCACCGTGCACTGGGTGGCGGGCCGCGGAGAGCCCCTGCTCTTACGATTAGGTCAAAGTGGGAGGATGTGGATTGTGGGATTGTACCCTATTGGTAAAGTCAGGGAGACTATCTGTACATTGTACTGAGTCCAAGCATCAACGCATTCAAAAACAGATACAGATGCGACCGTCATATGACATTGAGAAGAGGCAGCATCCTATGAGCATCAGCTTCCTATGCCTCTTTCCTATCTACTATGTTGAGCATCTATGTACTATGGTGAGCATTTATTTGCTTTTCTTTCATATGTTTCCTTTGCCACAGACATTGAAAAGGCAGGGGAATGCAGGCTCCACTCATCAAAAAGGAGAAGGATGCAGATGAAGACGATGAGGTTGTTTCAGAGGTAAGAAGTGCCAGCTAGGCACTGGTGGAGATCAGGTGTGATTAATTGTCACTTTACCATCTCTGCCAATACAACATTTGAAAGGATCCCAGTAAAGCTCTGGAGGGGATGGTTTATGCAAATAGTCACTGGTGTCATAATGGTAACAAAATTTCATTGTGCTGAAATTAATGCACATGGAAAACAAATAATGGTTTGAGATGCCAGGAATGCTAAGATGTCAAGACCGCTAAGGATATCACACTGTTTGTTTGCCAGTTGCCGGTTTTCCTGTCCAAGGGTCTGCAGGACAAGCTCTGGGTTCTGCAGTACCCAGTGCGGCCGGCACACATGACATACGACCACGCCCACTTCCTAGAGGTAAGGACACGCCCGCATGACCTAAAGTCGCTCCTACATATATCACGACCACGGCTAGGCGACCTAAGACCATGCCCACTTTACTGTGGTAAAGACACTGGGATTTACCCACGAACACAAAATAACATCTTCTTGTCAAAATGGAATGTCAATGGCTATGTGAACCTTGAGAGTTTTGGCTTGGATCATTTTCATAATACATGCTTACACTAAATACCATGCCATTTACACAATTCTTTCAAAATGCTAGGAAAATCAATGCTAAAAGTTAAAAGAAAACTTTTCTTTCAGCTGTAATTAATTGTATCCCTCTGCGCTTATACCATTGACAAGTGAGCTGACCTCCAGTCCATGACATTTCACGTGTCCCTTCCAGGCTCAGCTGAAGCCGACGCAGCACCAGCTGCAGCTCTCGCTGGAAGTGGACACCAACAGCTCCAGCTACGACTCCAGCAAGGGCGAACAAATTGCCCTCAACGTGGATGGAAGCCGGCTGACGCGCGACCAAAACGACCTCTACTACTCCAGGTATGTCCTGCAGTGGCGGCGTGTTGTCGGGCAGCCCTAGTGCTGTTTGTTGTTGGGATATGTTGTATGTGTTGTGCAGACTGCAACATGTCTTCTAATCTCTTCAGTTTTCCGCGCATAGGAAAATTTCCGCTGGTTTTCCTGATTTTTTTCTACAGTCTGTAGTCTTTTGGGCTGCAGTCTGTTGCCTGCGGTGTTCCGTCTGTTATACGTGGTTTATCCGTTTACCACCTGTTTGTTCATCCTCCACAGTCATCGGTGTGCAGCCTACAGCCCAGTTTCACCAAGTGCGGCAAACGCAATTTGGGGTAAACTACTTAACTACCCCACTACGTAACTACAAAAAAAACACCCCAAAATTGAGTTTACCGCACTTGGTGAGATTGGGCCAAACACGTCTGCCATCTGTCTCATGCCGTGTGTCATTCTGTAACTTCTAGCCTGCCGCTTGCTGTGTTTCGTCTACCTTCGTTTGGTAGTGTATCGTCTGCCGTTTGGACTGTGTCTGTCTGCAATGTGTCTGCCCCACCTCGTCATTGAGCCTCGTCATTGAGCCACGTGCAGTCTGCCGTCGGTAGTCGATCTGTCTGCCGTCTGCACTCTGCAAGTCTGTAGTAGAGCGTCTATAGTCTGTCTGTCCTACTGTCTGCAGTCTGTCTGCAGTCTGTCGTCTATCCTCTGCGGTCTGTGGTAAAGCATCTGTAGTCTCTCTGCCCTACTGTCTACCGTCTGCAGTCTAAAAGTCTGTAGTAGAACGTCTGTAGTCTCTCTGCCCTAGTGTCTGCTAAGTCTGTAGCATAGCGTCTGTAGTCTGTCTGCCCTACCGTCTACCGTCTGCATTCAAAAAGTCTGGTCTGTCCCCTCCCGTCTGTATGGCCTGCCATTTATTCCCTCCCTCTCTGTCTTGAACTGTGTGGGAACGATGACTGATGGCCCAGCCAGCCATCTGCGCTCGCCGACACTGGGCGGACTGCTGTGAGTGATGGCCTCGCAGTACATTTACGAGGGAGGGAGGATCGACACCTGGCTGCCACAGCGGCGCAATGTCAGTTTTTGATTCATTGAGAGCAATCCATCGGTCACTGAACACAACTGTGTGCTACTTGGAGCAGAGGCAATAAAAATACTATTTCTAGAAGAATATATGAAAAATTTTTGGCTGCGATCAGTTGAACCGATAATGGAATGAGTAACCATTACGATTTACGACGTTCAACATTACGAATTACGATGTCAAGGCTCTAAATTCATCTGAGGCATAGTTTGCACCCTTAGGGATGTTTTTTTTTTCGTCAACAGGGACCACATCTAGGCCGTTTCAGCGCTTTGTCAGAATGTGTGTTGTGAGAATACCTGTCCTCGCTGCTCAGACATGCGAGCACGCGCTACTTTGTCACAGAAGATGCTATATGTCACAGACAAAATTTTAACAGTCACAGACATAGGCGGCAGTTCAGTCATCCTGATTTTGAAGTTTTTGGATTATTTGTCTTATTTGCTCGAGTTATTTGTGAACTAAACAGCTACAACATTGCGTGAAAGTGCATTTAATAGCTCTTTGGCTTACGTGCCCTAGGCGGTATTCAAGATGCTTTCATGGGAGGGGGAGCATAGTGCATAGTGCATACGCCAAATATGTTTCTCAATAATCCGAAAACTCCTTGCATTTCGATTCCTAACACACCCTTGTGCAATTTAAAGCAAACTTTTCTCGACAACAGTCGCTAAGTTTTCTTTTTTATTCTAAAAAAAAACAACAACAACAAACTTTATCGATTTTGGGCGCCCACGGGGGGGGGGGGAGAGATAAGCCCCAAAGGCGCCGTAGATCCGCCAGTGTTCGAATAAAGCGAACGAAATGGCGTGTCTTGTGCACGAGGAGACCTTCAATTGACTTTTGCGGGCTGTTCTTGCCGATCCAAAAAGGTGTATCAACTTTAACCCGCGCCCCACTGGGGGGGGGGGGGGCTATTCATAGCCCCCTCTCCAGTTTTTCTGCAATAACTTCCAAACCACTTGACGTATCGACGCCAAACTTTCAGTACCTTCGGCTGCATCAATTTGACACCTTGTGTCAAAATTTGAACTTCGTAGCTACCATAGGTCGGCCGGAAATGACGTCAGAGTGACGTCATGTTCGGCCGACGCAAAACATTGAACCACGGCAATCGCTCCCAAGAGCTCAGTTTTTAAGCTAGAACCAATTTCTTTGCATGAAAGGACTCAGAATTGACTGCGCTATCAAACTGCTATCTCGGTTTTTCAAAATTTTGAAAATTTTGAAAATTTTATATAAAAATATTCAAAATTTATATTTTTATATTTTTTCAAAAAGTTTTTGACTTTTCGAAAAAAACGGAATATATGTGACAGAACGCATGCTTATGACTAACTCTAGCAAGTTTTAGCTAAATATCTTCAAAAATGACAAGTTATACGCATTATTGCAAAAAAATTCACAATTATTAATTTTTCAAATCAATTTTTCAGTACGTATTTGACATCGTACACCAATATAAATAGCACCATCGTGTTCCTGAGCTCAAACTGCATCCTATAGACAACTTTTTTGATGAAAAATTTTAACTTCAAAATTTGACCTTTCTTGACCTGAAAGTGACCTGACCTAAGCTAATTTCGACTCAAAATGACCTCGAATGACACAGACGACATCAATTTCGAAATTTCTGGCCTAAATGGACCATAAAACACGTGTCACGTGACCGACACATGATATAATATTTCCGTGACCTGTGATGACCTGACCCTGACCTGAAAATCAAAGTACAAGTTTGGTACCATCAAGGTATCTAGAGCATCTGTTCACGAGTGTGTACACCAAAAATGAGCCTGATCTGACTTGTAAGACGGCGGCCAGAGCCCAAAATTTGAAAAAGCCGAAATGCTAATAATTTTTACTTTGACCTGACCTGTGACGTCATCGGTGACCTCAAGGTCAATGAAATTAGGTTTCGTTCGACAGTTTTTCTGGGGCTATCAGACGCCGTTTGAATTTTGACGATCGGCCCAGTAGTTTTGAAGTTAGGAGGGGCTATGGAGAGCCCCCCCCCCCCCAGTAGGGCGTGTTAGACGCAGACCCCAGTGGGGCGCGGGTTAACCCTCGCCAGTCGCCCTGGCAGGGGGGGGGGGTTGATGCGACCCCTCCCCTAAGGTTTTTTGAAGATATCGTAAAAACGGCGGCAAAATTAACACAGCCTATGAGGCAACCTTTTTACATATGACCTGAAAATTTCAGTTCCTGGTAACCTTGGGTCAGGTCACCAGGTCAGAAAAACCGGTACAAGGTCATGGACAAATTTCAATTTTCTTGATGCACCTGTCCTACTCACGGTTTTGGACTGATTTCTTTCAAACTTTCAGGATGTGCTAAGTTCATCCTGAAGTTCTGCTATTCATTCATTCTGCTATGTTCATATTTTAAGTTAAGTTCACCGAGTTGTATAACATAAGTTTTTTTTTGTGTCACTGACCTGAGGTCAGTCAGAGGTTATTAGGTTGTAATGTTAAGCCTATGGGAAAATATTCAATTTGGAAAATAAAACAAAAAAGTATATCATTCGACGCGCCTTGACGTGCTGAGTTCACTGATGCTTTTCTTTTGCTCTATCTTAATTAGATCAAAGGTTATAAGCGAAAAACTTTTGACCTGTTTTTAGCGAAATTTTTAAAATTATACTCCCCAACCCCCCCCCCTAAATATTGACCTAGTGCAACCAAATTAGCACAGGGGTGAGAACTCAAGGGCACCTACCTACCAAATTTGGTGTTTCTAGGTGTCATAAGAACCAATCGCGAGGGGGGGGGGGTCGCATCGACCCCCCCCCCCTGCCAGGCCATGTTATGAAAAATGCCCTGCCAGAGCGACTCAGCAACCGGTGGACCGATTGATATACGGCCTTTTTTGTTGGGTGGCCCCATCCCTTCTACCCCGTAATTGACTATCCTTGATGCTTCTAGGTAACCATCGTGGCACGTGCCACGTGAAAAGTCGAGGGCGTTCAAGCTGTTTTTGCTGAATCAGGGCTTTTGAGAGGCCCATCCCATATCTCGGCCACCGCTTGGGTGATTGACTTGCGTTAAAGGTAGTGTGCCAGCTTTCCTGGACCGTATGGAGTTAATGGCCCAGATAAGGAGAACCGGATTTTTAGAACTTATCCATACCTTCAAAACTCATGGAAACGTCTTAAATTCTTCAAATTTTGAGTACCCCAGTGCGAAATTCGCCCCGACGGGTTGTCGGTCGTACCCCAACCACATTTCACACCACTATGAACAATAAATGCACACACTGAAATCGCTATTACCGATATGCTCATCCAATCAAGTTTCGATAAACCCGTTCATCATCATCTCCTGCGGTTTCGAACACGCCTGTTAGGTGGTGCGGTAGACCGCGCCCAAAGCCAGGGCCCCGGTAACGCGAGTTAGCCGAGTCGGGGCAGCGTGCGCTGACCCAAGCCGGGGCCGCGCGTCCTCCCGGTGTCATGTGATAGCCCGGGGCTGCCCGCGGGGATGCGGTAGACCGCGCCCAAAGCTGCGGCCCCGGCTTGGGTCAGCGCACGCTGCCCCGACTCGGCTACCTCACGTTACCGGGGCCCTGGCTTTGGGCGTGGCTTCTGCTCATACTTTGTGGTGCGGTGGTGGTGCGTCGGGCCGCGCGCTCTGACTTCGGCCAAGAAAAATGCGTCAGCTGATCATTGTCATTTCTGCCACTTGCGTGTGGTGGAATGGGGTCATAACTTAAGAGACGGCTTTTTCATATCAATTATTTTACATAAAATCATATTTCAAACCATAAATAATGTTCGACAGCCAAATAAAAGAAACAATACCAATACAGGCTTACAGTTTAAGGCTCGACATTGTGTTGTCTACGATTAGACAGCTGATAACTCATTCCCGTACGTCGTAACTCTATAATGACCTTTGCTTATTGTCACATGTGCGCCGCATTCGCGGTTGTTGCCGACGCCTGTTTGCAGGTCAGCCCACTACAGTTGTTATACATATCGAAAAACCGATAAACTTTAAGCGAAAAAGGCACTATTCCAGGCCCATTTTTGATTTTCTTTGCGATATTAGGTAAAAACAGAAGCTTCTTATCCTAGGAAAAATGAAATTGGAAATCTTTCGAAGGTGGCACACTACCTTTTTGTAGGGTAGTTGCATGCTTCTTCCGAGCATCGGATACTCTTGATGCGTGTGAGTCACCCCACCCCCTGCACGCTCAAAATAAAAAAAGAAGAGATTGTTTCCATTACAATGACTGCAATTAATGGGGCAATTTCGCCGAAACTTGGCATATAGGTGGGCAGTGGGCACCCACCAGGCAGTGCATTCCTATGTATTACGGTTAGAGTGCTACTTGCACGTGCGCTTGTGCAGGGGTCGCTTCCAGATCTTTAGAACGGCTGGTTCGATTGCGCTCAAATTTGGTACGCAGCTAGGGATCAGTTGGAAGGGTGCCATGCAAAAGTCAATTTGGACCCGGTTGGCACGTGCGCACGTGCAGGGTGTCGCTTCCAGATCTCGGAGACGGCTTGACCAATTGCCCCGAAATTTGGCACGCAGATAGTGACCAGTTTATGGGGTGCTGTGCAAGAGCCCGTTTGAAGTACCCTCTCGCCCTTCCGCACGTGCAGGGCTCACTATCTCGCTCGCTCGTTCTTCGCCCTAAAGTCGTTTTACTGGCTTGTACCTCAGAAAGACCGGAGAGTTGCGACGATGTATTTCCCCTTATAGTTGAGTAGAAAAGTGGGTCTAGACCAAAAGCAGATAGCAAAGATTGTAGGAACATCAGGTCCTGTCAGTTCAATAGTTCAATTGTTCGAATCTGCCTCAGACGCTACAGTACTGGGCCTCAGGCACTGCAGTAGTTGGTCTCAGGCCGTGCAGTACTGGGCGTCAGCCGTGTTCGACTGAATCCAAGTCAGCGCCTCGGTGACGCGGGCGAACACGTCGGGGCTGTTGGCCAAGGCACACGGCCGGCCGAACGAGACGACGCCGATCAGACGGAACCGGCCGGAGACCTCGGTCACCAGCGGGCCGCCGCTGTCGCCCATGCAGACCGACCTGCCTCCCTCTGGGTAGCCTCCGGCGCAGATCATGTTGCTCTTGAGCGTGGTGCCCCAGTTGCCCTGGCAGCGGCTCTGGCTCCAGACGGGCAGCTGAACATGCTGTAGCGTGGTAGCCTGAGGTTCATCGGCGCCCACACGGCCGTAGCCGCTGGCGATGGCCGTGACGTCGGCGTACGTCTGGCCGGCCTCGGCCAGGCAGACGGGCGAGATGGTGTTGCTGAAGGTGATCTCGCGATCCAACTTCAGCAGCGAGAAGTCCCAGCCGCTGCCCGTAGCGCTCGTGTACTGCGGGTGTTCGATGATCTGGACGACCGAGAAGCGCTGCTCGCCGGCGTCGGTAGTGCCAATGCGCAGGTCGCCCAGCATCACCTGGATCTGGCTGGCGTCTTTGCCGTCGGTGCAGTGGGCCGCCGTCAGCACGTAGCGGTTGTTGATGACGCTGCCGCCGCACCAGGAGCGGGTGTTGCCGGTGCTGACGATGCCGGCCTGCCACGGGAACTGGCCGGCGGTGGCGTCCGTGCCGCCCACCACGCGGGTCTGACGGACGCCGCACTGGCAGTCGGTGCTGGGGCTCGGGGTCGTCTGAGTGCCAGGCTCCGGCACCACGATGCGACAGTAGAAGCCCTTGTCAGTCACCGAGTAGTCTGTGTGGAAGTCGATGGTCAGCAACGTGCTCTTGATGGAAGGCACCGTTCTAGTGCCACAAAACTTCTGGCCGTTGATGGACAGATAGTCCCAATCGCAGCTTGGGTGGTACTCGAGTTGGAACGGGTCACAGCTGATGCTGATCTCCTGGTTAGCACTGCCTCGCAGCCTCAGACCGACGTCAATATTGTTTGGGTAGTTGTTCGGATAGTTTTCTGAAATCCAGTAGTAATTTGCAGGCTCTAGAGTGATCTCATACACTTCACGAGCAAATCCGTTTTCCCTTTCCATAGGCAGCGGCTCGGGGTCATCGTTCTTCACACCGTTTTCATCAAACGGTACAGCGGTAATAGTCGTGTCATCGAAGTCAATCGAATTGGGTTTCTTCCACGCTTGTTTGGCCTGTGGCTTGGCCAGCGCGGCGGCGGCCAGCAGGCAGCAGCAGGCGATCTGCAGACGGAGCATGGTGCCGAGTGCTGGGGACTGAGTTGCCGAGGTACCGGCGGCGCGGGCTCTTATACCCGTCCTTTGGTGCGCAAGTGTGCTCAACTGCGTCGCACTTTGCCGTGGGGTGTGACGGCTTCCTCCATTTTCAGTGACTGGGCTCTCTGGCTACGTGATCTCTGACCTCCCTGTCGACACCGGTGCACGGCTGTGGGCTGTTTGTCAACGCTGCCCTGCCGCCGCCTGGCCCATGCCGCTCCCATTGCGTCACGTGCACTGCCCTTAAACTACCATGGTTGTCCAGATGATGAAGGGTCAGGTGCTACTCTCGCGGTCTGATGCGCCCGGGACGCTTTCCTAACGGTCGCTGACACACTTATTTTAATTTCGTTTAATTGCATTTGTTAATTTGTGATGGGGGATGGAGTGCGCAATGTTCCAAACTTCCAGAAAATCTGCGAAGGAGAGTTTGATTCATCATCAACTCCTCATTGGCTCAGGACATTGAATGCCCTTTGCCGACTATTCGCAATAACTCGGAAACTGACTCTGCGATCGCCTTGAAACTTTCTATAACTATTTGTTAGTTATTTCCGCCACATCACGCCATGTCCAAACGAAAATTTTACAAAACTCCTGTATCCATCAAAACCGTTTTGTGAAGGAAGGAAATTCCCATTGTTACGGGTTAGTTGAGATAAAAATGGTGTAATCACAATTTTCTTCATTAGTACGAAAAATGGAGCGATAAAAACTCAAATTGGATATGCGCAAGAATCATAAGTTGAACCACCACACCAGTTCAATCCTCCACGTAGGGGCTTCTCTCAGCGGCAGATCTCCGGCTGAGACGTCTTGAGGATTTCTTTCTTTTGATGTGAGCCGACGTTGACCCTGCTGCCTGCTTCAGTCTGCACGGTCTGGCAGATCAGTTTCCTGGCGGGACGTAGGAGGACACCAAGCTTTGTCCGGATTGTGGCAGACCGCTCGCGCCCGTCTGGGGCGCGCTGGAAGGAGGGGGCCCGGCCTTTGAGCCACACGTTTCTTGGATGTCTGTCACGATTACGATGCTCCCTTCCTGCACTTCTCCTACCGCTATTTGGAACGAGTGGCGAGACGAGGCAGGTACTCGTGCGTCCAACGTCTCCAGAAATGGTCCTATACTTTTCACTCTACAGGTACACTCTAAAGAGCTCCGCCGGCGTCTTTTAACCCGCGCGGGGCTGGGGGGGTAAATTTTACCCCCCCTCGCGAATTTTTGCAATATCTCAAAAACGGCGGCGCGCAGCGCCGCCAAACTTTCAGTACCTTTTCTTACATCAATTTGACACGTTCCCTGAAAATTTGAGCGAAATCCGTCGGAAATTTTTTGAGAAATTGACGTTTTAGTGACGTCATGTTCGCCATTTTCGCCTTAAAAACGGCAAAATTTCAAACGCCGCTAACATCTTCATTTTTAAAGGAATCAAGACGTAACAAAAAAGGTTATACGTAATTCTACTTTGTCTATCAAATGGCTATCTCGGTTTTTTGAAAAGTTTGGATTTTGGCCCAAATTTTTTTCAAAAAACTGACTTTTTTGGGAAAATAATTGTAAAATCCGAAATTTTGAGTGTATCGAAAAAACCGGAATATATGTCAGAGAAGTGGTCTATGTGCACCTACATACCAATTTTTAGAAGAATCGGTTCAAAAATGTGGGAGTTATTCAAGATTTTATGACGTCACGACGCACAAAAATTTTGAAAAATGATTTTTTTGGAAGTTCTAGACCTTGTACGGAAACAAAAATAGCACCATTCGATTCGCCGTGAAAAACTGCATCAGATAGACACCTTTGTAGGCCTTAACAACCAACTTTGAAATTTGACCTCACTTGACCTGACCTTGACCTGACCTCGACCTGAAATTCATCCAGAGGTGGTCCATATCACTTATTGAGTGTGCCTATTGAATTCTATGAGTAAAATGACCCATAAAACATGTGTCGCACATGCCCTTTTCTATATTTTGTTTTTTTGGTGACCTGACCTGACCTGACCTTGACTTTGACCTCTGAATGATATTGTATGCAACGAATATTGTCTTGGTAGCCTAAGAACACGTTTTGGGCAATCAGTCTCAGTCAATGACTCCATTCTTCGGCAACTACGGTGCAAGGCCGATACTGTAGAAACTTGCAATTTGTACCCTTGACCTGACCTTGACCTTGACCTCAAAATTTAAATTAAGTACATGTTTGTAGTTGTTCGTGATGAGATCTTTCGATTGGCGTTTGATTTTTCCAAATCGGACCATTAGTTCGGGAGATAACAGGGGGGGGGGGGTAAAATTTACCCCCCCCCCCAGCCCCGCGCGTTCGGCTGGAGACCCCAGCCCCGCGCGGGTTAAGAGAAGATGAAGGCTCAACTCCACCACTCTACTGACCAGCTGAGGCCCCACTGATTAGGAGGTGGTGCGGAGTGAGTGGGTCGTCATCGGCTGAATCCAGCGGCGCATCGGTGATAGGTGTGGAGTTCGTAATACACTTTACCTCTGCCAGAAATGTCACCAGCTCTTCCCAACTCGGCGACTGCTCCTTCAGTAGACTGTCGGGGGTTTCTTTCGCGATCCCGATGCTGCTCCCCAAGACGCCGCCAGCAGGGGGATTCCGTGGCGTATTGAGCTTCCACTAGTCACCCCGGGGCGCCAGTTTTCGATATATCCTGTCGTGATCGATGAGGCTCACCTGCTGTCCGAGTACCTTGCCGGCAGTACCTTGCAACAACGCCGGTTTCGTTGCAGTGAGCGGTTGCCGTCCCGTTTAGGTTCCACAGCTATCTAGTGCGAGGCGTTACCGGCCGCCCGTTCAGCGCCCGTGGGAAGGACCGGGGCGGTCCCACTGACCTTACCCGACTGTTTCCCGGCACGCTCGTGGGAGGGCGGACCAGGGGCTCGGTCCAGACGTATCAGAGGTATTTTAGTTCGTAATTAAACAAGGATCTAAAGACCGTTTACCAATCGGTCTAGTGGACACCCAGAACAAAGACTGAAAAAGCGTCATGTGGCCGGGTCGGGCTGCTGCTGATGGATTTCTCTTGTTAAGCCACAGATAAACTCGCTCACTCTCTCGTTAATGAGCTGAACAAACAATTCCCGGTTAGCTGGCGATACGCGGGTCACACGCCGTGATGTGTTCTGGGCGCGAACTCGCTGCCACCGAGTGAGGAGACTTAACCCGCGCACCGACGGGGGTCTGCGCCAACTTAGTACCGACGGGGGGGGGGGCGGATGACCGCCCCCCCCCCTGAGATCTCGAGAACGAAGCAAGATAGCGACAAGCCGTAAACGGCATCGGATACGCACGGACAAGGTCTACAATTTTTACTAAGGTCATTTTCAGGTCAGGTCAAAGATGACGTCACAGGGGTCGAAAAAGTCAAAATGGCGGCGCTAGATATGGAGAGGGTTTTTCTCGAATAACTTTCGAAGTAGTCAAGATAGGAACAAACTAAGGGCATCATCGTGATCCTCTCGTCAATCCGCATCGAATGATATATATGTTGACCTCGAAAGGTCAAGGTCAAAGGTTGACCTCAGGTCACGTGACCTCGAGGTCATCATGTATATCATTCGATGCGTCTTGACGAGCTGAACACAATGAGACCATCCGCGCGGCTGTATCTTGTTCCTGTAAGGAGTTATTGGCAAAAAACCTTTGGTGACCTTTGATGACGTCACATGACCTTACAGCTGCCCAACAGCAAAACAGACCTCAAGGTAGTGAAGGTTGATCGTATGTGAAGTCATGTATGGTATATGGGGCCATTCCGACCCGTTTTAGTGGTAAAAACAGGGAGTTGATTTTTCCCCCATTGACTTATAATGGGGAGGTCGCGAATTTGACCTGACCTTAGGTCACCGACATCAAAATTCCGAGATATACAAATTGTAGCTACTAATGACCTAATAACATCCTGCGACTTTCAAAGGCCTCCGACATCTACTGTAGCTCTGGCACGGTGACAAAGTTGCAAAAAAGTGACTTGAGGTTGGGTCATTCAAAGTGACCTGGTGACCTGACCTTAAAAGTTAGGAGGTTCAAACTTGCACACCATGTGTAAAATTGATGAGAGAATAGTCATACCAAATTTCGCGGCGCTACGCGCCGCGGTTTTAACGCTATCCGCGAAAAACCTCAGGGGGGGGGCGGATATCCGCCCCCCCCGTCGGTGCGCGGGTTAAGGTCCAGACTGTTTAGATGCTCTAAAATTGCTGGGTGGCGAAACTATTTCACATAATGCAACGTGCTGATCGCCATACAACGTGCTTATTGCGAGGGAGTGCGAGGCGAGTCTTATTACGGAAAACCCTCAGTATGGCTGCCCGACCCGGCCCGACCCGGCCTGTAAAGCTTTTGACAGGCTTATTACTCAGCAAACGCTGGACCGATTGATACACTACGTTTTTTGTTGGGTGGCCCCATCCCTTCTACCCCGTAATAGACTGTTATTGATGCTATTAGGTGACCATCGTGGCACGTGCCACGTGAAAAGTCGAGGGCGTTCAAGCTGTTTTTGCTGAATCAGCGCTTTTGAGAGACCCATCCCATATCTCGGCCACCGCTTGGGTGATTGACTTACGTTAATTTTTGTAGGGTAGTTGCATCCTTCTTCCAAGCACCGGATACTCTTGATGCATGTGGGTCACCCCCCGCCCCCCTGCACGTTCAAAATACAAAAAGAAGAGATTGTTTCCATTACAATGACTGTAATTACTGGGGCAATTTCGGCGAAACTTGGCATATAGGTGGGCACCCACCAGGCAATGCATTCCTATGTATTACGGTTAGGGTGCTACTGCACGTGCGCTTGTGCAGGGGTCGCTTCCAGATCTTTAGAACGGCTGGTTCGATTGCGCTCAAATTTGGTACGCGGCTAGGGATCAGTTGGAAGGGTGCCATGCAAAAGTCAATTTGGACCCGGTTGGCACGTGCGCACGTGCAGGGTGTCGCTTCCAGATCTCGGAGACGGCTTGACCAATTGCCTCGAAATTTGGCACACAGA